AGAGTGCTGGGCTAACTTTTTTAGTGACTTAGCCTTTGGCCGCTTGGAGCGAGGAACCATGTTGGAGTCTTCTACAATCAAGAATGTCGTCTGTCAACACTGGACCACACTGATGTTGCTATTGGAAGCACTCTCAATGAGATATCTGAACACGAAGGGTCTTGAGAACTGAGATCTCAATTGTGCAGATGAGGAAATAAACAATTTCAACAGATTGCATGAAGAAGAGCAGGTTTTCAGCTCCTGGTCAGAACACAGTCTGGAGAGTCAGATTATTGTATTATCTGAGCAGAGATAGACTGTAATGATTGCCCCTGGTTGAAGTGGATGAGAGGGAACAACTGTCAATGAAAATTTAACAGAAGATCAGAATTGGATGGTCAATAAGAAAGGGAGTAGATGTACGATCCCGACTGACAAGACAACTGCAAAGACAACTGTGCAAGAGTCACGAAAACTGTGTCTTCTGAGCTGCGTATAGTGGTGTGTTTGTCTGTGGTGAGGGGGGAGGAGCAATGCCGTATAGCCCACTTGAACCAGCGCTGCGTTCGAGGGCAGAACGACCGTTCTTGGGAAGCGAGGGGAACCCAGGGGCAGACCCTATAGGTATCTTCCCAAGGAATAGGGGGCAGACACTCCTGATAGAAAGATGTAGAAAGATTCGGGCATGAGGAACTCAACAAACCTCCTCTATAGCCCCTACAGACTTTTGGGGGATAAAGCGCATCTAGCGACAGCCATAGCATATTCCATTGCCCGATCGAAGCATCGACACGCAAAAAATAAAAACAGTAACAATAAAACGCTGCTTAAATGAAATAAAGCCAGATAAAACCAGAGCTGAACAAAGGAGATCGCATAGCACCTACGCATCTACAGCTCGTTCCACATTCCACCCGTTAGCTTTGAGGAACTAAAACGAGAAGAAACCTAAGAGTCAGTACAGTATCTCCGCCCACAACAAAGGCAAATATCAACAAAAACAACGGGTATGCAATCACTTATATTGAACACACACACATATATATATATACCTGGGTAGATATATATAAATGAAGAAAAGTTACAATTCTCATACCTTGCCAGCAACACTCTCTTTTGCGTTTGTAAAACAGACAAACTCCGAAATCATATGTTTTTGACTGGATGAATACAGGGACGGCATCTTGAAAGGGTCTGACGTGTATCCTCTGCTAAGCGGGTATTGTAATAGACCTCACCTCTCCAGTAGGATACGTGAGGAGCATTAAATTGCGGCAGATATTGGATGGCGGGGTTGGGGTTAACCAGCGTTTCAGCCGTGCAGGAGAGAATGCTACTTAGTAGATGAAAGAGATATTGATGCTAAAAGGATAAATATTTTAGATGTGATAAATGTATATATGGAAAAGGAAATTTTGGAAAATAATAATAAATAATAATAATAGCAAGCAGTAGTAGTAATAGTAATAGTAATAATAATAGTAATAATAGTTGTTGTTGTTTGTTGTTGCTGAAGACAAGAATAAGTCAGCGATGCCTTGCTGCAGCTTATTACGTTGGTAAGAAGGTTATCCGATCATGGATAACGTTGTTGTGTGTGTTGGAATTAGCTGAAATCTACACTATATAAGGAGGCACGTGATTAGAGTAACTGCAGAATCCACTTCACTACAATCTTGCTAGATCAGTTCAAATCATTAAATCTACAATAAAACTTAATTACAACAATTATTTTTATAAAAAAATAAGCTTTTATATTAATATTTATAATAAAAATTTTTTATAAAAATAATTATTAAATAATAAATATAAATAAAATTAAATTTATAAAATTTAAAAAAAAATTAATAAAATAATTATAAATTTAATATTATAAAAATTAAATTTAAAGTTTATATTAAAAAAAAATTAATCTAAATTAAAAAATCTTTAAATAATATAATAAAATTTTTAAATATAAAAAACTTATTTTTTAAACTATGAAATAATTATATATAATTTATATAATTTTAATTTTTGATTTTATAATTAAAATTTAATAAAAATTAAAAAACTTTAAAATTTAAGCTTATTATATATTTATATTTATATTTTAAATACTATAGATTAAAAATTATATTAAAAATATATTGATTAATTAATTAATTTATTTATTATTTTTTAAATTATAAAGTTTTAATTAAATTAATATTTATATTAAATTGTATAATATAATTAAATAAATATTAAAATGTTTTAAATTTTAAAGTTTAATTTAAAAAATATTTATAAATTTTATATATTAAAAATTATATATTTATATTAATTTTATTAAAAACTTTTATTTTTATATTATATATTATATATTATTAATTTTAAATAAAAATTTTTATAAAAAATATATAATATAATTATATATAATATAAATTAAAAATTAATCTATTTTAATCTATAATTATTTTTTTATATTTATATATTTAATTTATTTTATATTTTAATTTTTAATTTAATATTTTAATTATAATTATTAAATTAAATAAATAAATTAAAGTTTTTATTTTGATTTTAAATTAAATTATAATATAATACTAAACTTTTTTAAAAAAAACTCTAAAAATTAAACAAATAAGTTATATATTTATATCTATATTTAAATTTATATATATATTTATATTTAAATAAACTTCTTAGTAGTTATAATTATATTAAATATTCAAAACTTTGATTAATTTTTAATTTTTTTAAATTATTTTTGTCTTTATTATAAAGAATTCTTTTATTACTTTTTATTAAAAGTTTATAATACTATTTAAAAGTTTTATAATTGAAATTAATAACTTTTAATTTTTTTATTTGAAATTTTTATTATTATATTTTAAATAAATTTCTAACAATTTATATTGCTAAGTTTAAATATATTTTCTATAAAATTAAAGTTTAAAATTGATCTTAAATTTCAATTCTATTAAAGTTTTAATATCTTAAATCTATAATTATTCAGCTTAAAAGTTAAATCTTTTTTAAATTTATAATAAATTTTTATATATTATTCAGCAGTTAATGTTTAATTTTTCTCATCTATTTCTATTATATACTTATTAGCAATTTGTTTATTCTGATTACTCTGCTTACTTTGATCACTTTATTTACTTTGATTACTTTATTTATCATAATTTTATAAATTTAAATCAAAATTAATTTAATATTTTTATTTTTATATAATAATTCTTTATCATATATATGAGAACATTTGATGTAGTTAAATTAAATATCAAAAGAGAGTATGAAAAGCATTATAACTAATATTATAAAAGAGTAAGAATATAGATACTGCAAAGTACTATAAAAGAAAGAAAATAGCAATGAATAAAAATATATATAAAGAATTGAATAGTAGCTAATTATTGAATCTGTTGAAGAATTTTAAAAATTCAAAGTATTTATAAATATAAATAAGTAGCAATAGATTTCATTTATAATCTTTCATAAAATAAGTGATGTAGTACTGATTCTATTCTTCAGTGAGTAGTAATAGATTTCATCTCTAATATTTCATGAAATGATGAATTGATATCATAGTGCTCTTTCATAAAATAAGAGATTAGTGATATAGTGCAAAGTGTTGATTTTAAAGTGCTGATTCCGAAGTGCTGATTCTAAAGTACTGATTCTAAAGTACTGATTCTTCTAAGATACTTTAGTAAGCAGTGTGAGAACAAGAAGCTAGTATAAGAGATCTTGACATCATAATATACTTCATCAATTTCATCTTTTCAACAAAAGAAAATATTATTATGAAAACTATTATGTATATTGTAAATTTTATAATTATTAAGTTAAAAATTGTCATTTTTATATGCATTCTTCTAAGCTCTATTGCTGTTATCAAACTGTTAAATAAGATTTTAATAGTAGTAAATTATGAAAAAAATTTATAAAAAACTGATAAAGAAGAGTTAAAGTGATTAGTCTACTGATAAAGTTGATGAATTTTTATATTACTCTTTTTTTGCTTTTAACAGAACTGCTTAAGAACAAGTATTTTTTAAACTTAGAGATAATGTTACAGCACAACTACTTGTAATATGAAATAAAATTAATCTGCTTTACTTTGAAAAATTGATTCACTTCAATTCTCAATCATCTCTTTATATTTGACTGCTTATTTATTTCATATTTTAATTCTCAGTTTAGTATTCTTATTGCAGCTGTTTAATTAGATACATGAATTAAAGCTTTTATCTTGACTCTAAATTGAGTCATAATAAAAAATAAAATTAATTAATAAAATATAATTTTAAATATATTAAAAATTAAATAATCTTTTAAATAAGTTTTTTATTCATTAAATATATTATAATTATTTCTATTATCTAATATATTTTCTTCAAATAAGTTCAAATTTACTATTTAATATTATTGAATAGGGGTTTTTTTTGTTTGCAGTTTACAGATATCAGAAAGAATTTTACTATCTTTTATTTAATTCTCAGATAGTCTATACTACGCGTGCTTATAATAAACGCCGAGTTAAGCGTCGCTTATTTAGCTTATCAAGAAAATATGAACTGAGAGGGCTGAGTGACAAAGGGAGATTGCATAACTAACTATTGTCAACTGTGCAAATAAATTCCTAGTAAGAATGCCCTAGTGAGTTTTCACAATGACCTTTCTCTCCAACCAGATCAAACCCCGTGTTTTATGCAGCGATAAATAAGCACGAGCCCAAACATGGATACTAGAGGTTCTCAGCATTCTGATTTTCTCTAATCTCAAAATTTGCCAGTGGCAAGGAATGCCGTGAACAGTTATTCACACGTAGCTGATGGTGGCAAAGCAGCAAGCATATTAAATATAACAAGAGCAAAGCAGAGACAGGAAGTCCCAGGAACAGCCACTTTGAAGCAACGACCTTTATTTAGCCCTGAAATACATATTGGAAACCCAAAAGAAGTTATGCAACAATAAACGCCAAACTTTCCCCCTGGATCCAGGAATCGAAAAACAAATGAAAAAAAAAATGAAATAAAACAAATGAATTACGTCGTGAAAAGGGTATCCTCCTGCATAATATGTTAGAAAAAGTTTCACCAAAAGGGCGATGGTGTTTCTTACCTCTCTCAGGTATTCTCCTATATCCGCCTGTCTGAAGGTCGTGATGCCTGTGGGGTCAAGCCGTCGTGCCTCTGCAGTGGATCGAGCAGTGACTCCGAACCCCTATTTATTCAAGCAACAAAATTAGCAATCATTACTATACGCCCTGGGGGAGAAACAGAAGGAAACCATTATGATATATGTCCAATATAGCAATAGATAACCTACCAAAGGCGTATCATCCATCGCAAGCACCACTATACCCGAATGCTCAGGACAGTCCTCACTCCATCTCCCAACATGTGCTTTCACAATATTTCCCCCATACAGGAAAGGCATCTCCCCATTCGGCTTGACCCACACCCTGTACCTCGCATGTGGCGCAATCACATCCAATGCTGTAATATGCAGTCTGAACTTGCCCGTCTTCGTAAACTTGCCTATACAGGTACCTAGCGACAGGAGTCTGTCACGGGGCACTGATGTTGCTAGGTTGGCTATTGAGAGGCGCACGTAGTATACTCGGGAACCATGGAGGCGAAATACATGGCGGTCATTCGCTGATGGTTCGCCGTCTCTCGTAGTTGAGGTTGAGTGGGGTGCGATTAGGTTGTTAAGGGAGCGACCTGTATAGTTTGCGAGCTTGGTGAAGAGGGTTTTCGTCTCTGTCTCTGTGAGGGCACGCATGGTGGAAGGGGGGGTATTCCCCAGGTACACGCTCTACTGAACAATTGAGGGCTAAGGAGGAGGAGGAGGAGAAGAAGAATAATGGGGATGGTCTTCGTTAATTTGCAGGTTGTCGTTGATTGATCCCGGAGCTTTCTCTGAAAGCTTTTCCGCAAATAAAATATTCCCCGCTAGTGCAAAGTCTTGGCATTACTGCAACCGCCAAAATTTAATTTAATTTTTCTCTACGGGACAACGTCAAGGTAAGAAGGGAAATCAAAACAAAACAAGACGAACAAAATAGCCCATGGCGCTTGGGCATGCGGTGAAAAGGAGGCGGCTTAGTCCGTCCAGAGATGCCGATTCGCAGGCTCCAACTTCTAATAATGCATCCTTCAAAAAGGATTTCTACAGTCGTGCGGCGGAATGGGACCTGGAACAAGAATACGAGCGTCGGCCGCGCAAGGGCAACAAATGTGATGTAGAGAAGAGTCGTCTTCCGATTAAAACTGCGGAAGGAAAGATAGAGCATATTATGGAACCTACGGATGATCAGTCTGACAATCCCTTCGATTCGGACGACGACGATGCGGAGGAGCAGGGGATTACGGCCGCGGTCAAGTTTGTTGAGAAGCCGAAACCTCACATCCCCGCGAAAATACAGATTCTAGAAGCAAAAGAAGAGTTGGCAAGGATTGCAGAACTTATTAATGAGGATCCGGAGGAGCATACGGGTTTATTTAAAAGACTAGGAGACATCGTATCAGAGACCTTACTTCCCGCAGTTAAGAAGCTGGCATTGGCCGCGCAAGCGGCTATCTATAGAGATGTTATTCCTGGCTATCGGATAAGGCCATTGGGGGAAGAAAATACGACGACAAAAGTTTCGAAAGAGGTGCGGAAACTTCGTGATTTTGAGAAGTCTCTTCTCTCTGGATATCAGAATGCTGTCAAGCAATACGCTTCTTTTGCAAAACCGAGTGGGACTGCCAAGGATGCAGATGATGCGGAGGGTTTGAAAAAAGTTGCAATCAATTGTGCCTGTAGCTTACTTCTTGCAGTGCCGCATTTCAATTTCCGCGGCGAGCTGTTGAGGATTCTGATTTCGCAACTTGGTCGGTGCAAAGTTGACGAAAACTTTGTTAAATGTCGTGAGACGATTGAACAACTATTTTCCAACGATGAGGATGGTATCGTGTCTATGGAAGCTGTTGGGTTGCTGTCTAAAATGATGAAGGCAAGAAATTACCAGGTTCACGACAGCGTGTTGGATACTTTTCTGCATTTACGACTTCTCTCAGAATTCTCTTCAAAGGGCTCGAAAGATTCCATCGACAAACAGGGAGAAGAGGACACATTGAAGAGCAAGAAGATGAAGGCGAAAAAGGAATTCAGAACTAAAAAGGAGAGAAAACTTGCTAAGGAGCGAAAAGCAGTGGCCAAAGATATGAAGGAGGCAGATGCCCTGGTCAGCCATGAGACTCGGGATAAGATGCAAGCGGAAACGCTGAAACTGGTATTCGGCACATATTTCCGGATCCTCAAGCTTCGCAGCCCCAGCCTCATGGGTGCCGTCCTGGAAGGCCTAGCAAAATACGCCCACCTCATCAACCAGGATTTCTTCGGTGACCTCCTCGAAGCATTGAAAGAACTAATCTCACAAACCGATCCTTCCAACTCTTCCACAGAAACCCCAGACCCATCTACCTCCCCTAACGAACTCGACCTCGTCGGTAAAACGGCAACAAGGAATATGACCCGCGAAGCACTCCTGTGCTGCATAACCGCCTTCGCCCTCCTCGAGGGCCAAGACGCTAGCAAGGCCGCCTCAACACTCCACCTAGACCTCAGCTACTTTATGACCTACCTCTACCAATCCCTCTATCCGCTGTCCCTATACCCAGACATAGAATACCATCCAAATAAATCTCTCCACCTCCCCGACCCATCATCCGCCACCACAACCCCCGTTCCCGAGAGGCCCCAGACCAACAAAGTAAATTTCCAAACCCCTACTGTCCTCCTTCTCCGCTGCCTCCAATCCACTCTCACAGCCAAGGGCACCAACGTAGCACCTCCGCTTCGCCTAGGCGGCTTCACAAAGCGCCTCATGACCGCGTCTCTACAGCTGCCGGAGAAGTCATCGCTGGCTACGCTTTCTCTGCTGGCGCGTGTGGCCAAGCAGCATGGGCGGAAAATCGCGCCGTTGTGGAATACCGAGGAGCGGAGGGGGGATGGTGTGTTTGATCCACTTGCGTTGACGGTGGAGGGGAGTAATGTCTTTGCTGGGAATGTGTGGGAGGGGGAGTTGTTGAGGTTGCATTATTGTCCGCGGGTGAGGGAGGTGGCGAGGGAAGTTGAGAAGGCTGTTGCGGCGGTGAAGTAGGCTTGTTGGTGATGTGAGCATGTAGATTGAGGATGTGGTGAAGGTTCTCTATATTTAGGAATTTGGGCGTTTTTATGAATGGAATTGTGAGTCATAAATAAACTATGTTTTGCTTCTCGAGTGGATATCAGGGATGAGAATTCCAACGGAGATCTCTTGGCCCTTAAATCAACTTTTCAACTCCCTATTTATTGGGTTTCTATTTAGGTGATACAATTTGCATTGGGTAGTTAACTAACTAGAAAGAAAAGCACGAAACTTGTACAGAATCCAACATGCAGCCAAACTTGAGAAACTTCACAGTAAAGAAAATGAATTGAAATGAAATGAAAAGCGAAAACAAATCATATCAAGACAAACCCTTACATTGACATCCATCGACGCTGCCAACGAACTCCCTGTTAAACCTGGAATTACTCCGTACAAGAACCGCAAATTTCAAGATACACCCAGAAACAACCCAACTCAAGGTCACACAAAAGTTGATAGTGGTAAAATGAAAGCAAAAGAGAACCAAATGACCAGCAAGCAGGCAAAAGAGAAAGGCAAACACAAAACACCGCGACTTTATAAGAAACAGAATGAAAACACGCATCTAGACACACAAGGGGGAGTACCCAAACATCATGAAAACCTCATCAACCAAAACACTTTCGCTCCCACATCACTGGCGTCGCATAGCTACATATACCCCTGGCTCTTTAACGTGGGCTGTTGATATTGTTGTTATTGCCATTCGGATAAACCTGTTGATACCAGTTTGCAGCGCTAGGCCATGCGCGGTAAGGGGTAAACACCCTATTGGCAGCAGGCCACTGACCGGCGTGTGGAACATTGCCAAAACTTTGGGAGTTATTGAATTGTGGATACCCCACATGGGGCACTACGGGAACCGATGGCGGTGGGACTGGTGCATAACCGTGGTTGAAGTTACCGAAAGGTATGTGGATGGGATTAGAATTACCTGGTCGACCGCGAACGCTAGAATTGTTGTATCCCAAACTTGACTGACGCGGAGGGAACCCTACAGGGTTTCCGGGTGTTTGGCTAAGGGCACATAATGGACCTGTAACGCGTGAATTGGGATGGACGAAGGACTGGGCTTGGAAACCACCAGGAGTGAATGTGGGGGAGACTAGTGCCGGTGCCTGTGTAGCTGCGGGGGCTGGTGGATGCTGTCCAGAGGGACGCGCAACTGGAGCTGTGGGATCAATAATCAACAACCTCTTGCTGGGTATGGAGAATGCATGGAGGCTCTTACCTTTCTTATTATTGCTATTGTTAGAACTGCCACGACGATTTGCTCCACCGTTATTACGTTTGGGATTCCAGACACCCCGCTTCTGGCCTGTTTGCGAGCCACAGAAGCCACCCCGCTGTTGTTGACCTTGGTCTTCTGAGATACCTCTGCTAAACGTAGGGTTCGTCTGGGATCGCGCCCGTGCAACTGGGCTTCCTATGCTCCCATCGTTGGCACGACTGTTAGAAATTTCCTCAGCGCTACGTACAGTTAATGCCTCGTTGTCTACTGGATCAAACGGAGTTCCGCATACTGTCGCAGGTGTACGAACAGAAGTCTTACCAACCTCCTGCTCCATAACATCGGACCAATTGGGGGTAATATTATCGTCACTAGTGTTTGGATATGCTTGGTCGATGTTGCCAGCCATATCACTAATACTTGCAACAGCTGCAGCGACAGACTCGACTGCTTCGCCCAATTCCCCAACAACCAGAGTGATGTGGTTTTTGATGCTTTTGTCGTGGGTCGCAAGGCTCTTGAATCTTGCCCTTTTCTCCAGCTCCAGGCCCTCTGAGAGGATTTTCACGTTGGTATTGACGACCTCGAGCTGATGGAGGATCCTCAGTTCTTCCATCTTGATGTTAGCCACGTCGTTTGTCAGCGCTTTGAGTTGGGCGAAGATTTCTTTATGGGGGGGTTCTTCGCTCATAGTGAGAAACTTAGTCGTGTCCGTTGTATTGGAATCAATAGCTTCAGGACCCGACTGCTCTGCCACGTTCAAAATTTCGTTGACGCCAGGTTTTGACACGTAGTTGTCCTGTTGTGAGTAAATGCCCGGCTGCTGGGGTGCAGAAAGCGCTCTCTGACCGCGTGTTATATGAATAAATGGTGACGTTCTGTAGCAGCTTCTCCCTTTTCTTATCCGGCTTCCACTTCTACCACGAAAGAATGAATGATTGAAGGAGTTGAGACGTTGAGGCTGTGAGCTTTGCCTAAACTCTGTTGGCGTGGGTGGGCGAGGAGGTAGGTGCGGATTTATGATGGACATTTGGCCCGGCAACGAGAGCTCAGTGTTGTTCTCGCTTGGTGTCCTACCAAATGTTGCAGTGCTGCTAGTCCAACAGGAATATTCCTCTGCCTCGTCAAGTTTTATCGAGCCCCGAACACTCGTAACTCTCCTCTCAGGGCTAACCAGCCTGGCAGTGCCTCTTGTCCCACAGGTACCTTTATTTGTTAGGCTTAATTCAGGGGATCCGAGAATGATTCCATCCAATTTAGGTGGGGACTGATAGTACTCCTTTTCCGGGGTTTCTGCTGATTTGTCGCTCGATGTAGGAGAGAGTGTTGTGTGGACAGTTCCCTGATTGCCACCAAACATCTCGTCACCCCGCAGTTCAGGGTTAGAGCTCACCTTTCTTGCAGTTGATAGACGTCCAATGCGTTTCGCTGGTAGCTCAGGGTAGGAGTTCTCTGTTTGCATGAGAGGTGCTGAGAGTGGGGGTTTGTCGCCGTCCTTCTTCTCCTTGGGGTAGTATATTTTTGGCCGTTCAGCCGTTTCCATGGCAATGCTGCTCATATCAGCAGGAGTGGTTGGTGGCGCTGGTGGTGTCTCCTGGTTGGTGACGCTATCGTTTGATAAAGGAGCAGAACCAGGGTGTCTGTTATGGCCACAGTCAAAAAGGTATCGAGACGGTGTGTCAACTGTACTTGTGGCAATATCAAAGAAGGGGAGAAATGAAAGGGGGGTTTCACCTATGCACTGGGGAGAAGATATTACCGGTGGTGCTGGGAACGTAGGTCCTCGGGAAGAGGAGTTGTTCCAGAGTTCCCTCTGGGCTAGGGGTATCCTCTCCTTTGGCATTACTTCGCCCTTGCTTCGACATCCTTTTGGAGAAAAGTCGGTATTTTCGGGCCATAGCTGTCCAGGTCGACTCGAAATCTCTGTTGCATGTCAGCGCAGAACTGCTATCGCTACGGGAGGTTTTCCAAGCCTGACACTGGAAATGAATGCTGGAGATATTAAGGAATTTCTATTGCCTCACAAGGGGCGAAGGGGGGGGGGGGGGGGGGGGGAATATAGGAGCTCGTTCGTGCTGATGGGCCCAAGGAATCACAATACCCCATGCTTTAGTCCACAACAATGCTGATAGATATTGCAACAGGAATTAAGAAGCTCAGGGAAATGGATTGCATAGACACGGGAGAGACCAGCAGTAGAAAGAATGGGGAAGTAGCAGACCTAACGACCTACCGTCAACCTGGACATATATGATGGCTAATGTGAGCTGATTGTCAGCGAAAGCTCCGAGACTTGCAGGAGTCTCCAGCTGAGATCAGGGTCCAAATGTAAGGCCCTTGGCTGTTGCAAAGCTCTATCTCTGGATTCCTGCCTTGGTTAATGTACGATTGACACAGGGAATATATGATTTTTGAGAACGTATCAGGGGGGAAATTTCAGCAAGAGGTAAAATTGGGGGAGCAAAGGGAAGTGCAAAAATGCTGCAGAAGAAATCCAAAATGCCAGAATTCACAGTATCCAAAAGGTCTTTATGTCCAATATATCCATTCTTTATTCAAGATGGTGAATGAGAGTCATGGCCAGCTGATTTCCAGAAACAGGGACTGAAGTATCCAAACTTTGAGAGTTGTTTGTGCACAAAGGAGATGTGAGGTGAAAAGGAGACAGGATATAGACACCGCGTTGGACAGCAACGCCATTAGCGCCATTTAAGCGAGGTGTTCCTGTTGACTGCATGCACTGGGACCTGCCCTCCCGATCTCCTTGGAGCAGACCACTGCTTCCAAGGTTATGCATTTGCTGCTTGCTGCTGCCCCTGCTGCTGCTGCTGCTTGCTTGCTTGCTAGACGAATTTTCGCTTTATTAGTGCTTTGTGGAAATAGGAGTTTAAAGGGCGCGAGAGAAGATTCGATTGCCCCTATTTCCGCAGCTTTGCCCCTCTGCTTCTTTCTTCGATCCCACCACCGCCTCTCCTTTCGCCAGGTTGATCTACCTCTGCTCCCGCTTGATCGGTAGAAGTGTTTGACGGTCCCGGCGACAGGGCCTGGCACCGTGCTGACAAGCCCTCCATTCCCTGAAGTAAGAGTGGTCGGCAGAGTAAGACCATCTGATCTCGTTACTGCAGGGATTCATGCAATCGGGTCTCCTGTTCAAAAAGGGCCCAACAATCCATTGCATGCATAGGACGTCCTGATGTCCGATTTCGGATATGGCATGCCTCCTACCGGAGAGACTTGGTGGAGGACGGGCGATTCCACGGACAACGTCTAGAGTAGAAGGAAATAGTTGACAGGCCATATTGTATGATAGAATAACGCATTGGATCCTAATGAAGAATTATAAATATGTTATGGAACGGCTTCACCGTTAGAGAAGGTAAAAAAGAGCAATAGGAACGGTCCTGCTCCATCGGACTGCCGCCATTTTTCTTCTTGAGGGTAGCTATTAGGAGAATAATATGGAAGAAAAGGACAGACTGGATATAGAAAAGGAAAGAAAAAGAACATCTTGTTTCCTACTAAACTGGAATGTGATGAGTATACTGTACCATTCTTGTTCCCCTTCCCACATTAATTTTCTTCCCTTCTGAGCTTCTCTTGCATTCATCATCAAATAAAACATGTACACAGAGCAGGAAAATGAGATGGCAACCAGGTCAGCGCGACGGGATATCTGCACCGTATTAACATGGTCTCTGTCTCGAATTTCTTTCTTACTCTTTCCTCATCTTTTCACAAATCGACATACATATACACAACTTCAAACATAAGCTCGCTGATGATGGTACAAGCACTCAACGACAGAAGATTTTGGAAGAATCTTGAAAGCGCAAGGAGGCGGGGTGATTATTCAGCAAACTATGATCATAATAACTATTATGCTAGACGATCCAAAAAAAAAAAAAACATCTCATCACATGACATTATCTGCTCCGCCCATAACAATGCAATAGAAGAATAGCATAATGGAACATAACAACAAAGTCAAATTCTTCACAAGAAAATATCAAGGACAACAGCACCAAGCAAGCAAATTGTGATGAGGGGAGAACAAGCTTGGAACAAATTAACTCAGAAGAGTGAAGATAGTGAAACTTTAGAAAGGTGCTTGGCGAGGTACGGTAATATTGAGCGCCAGTACAGCGCTAAAAAGACGGGGATGATAGCAGCAAGAATCGTAACAGCCACCAAGAGGGCCCTGAAGGTGGTTGATGGTCAGTAGGACCGTATGGTGCAGTTTGAAAGGAGGTATATCAAATTGGATATCGTTACAGCAGATACTGCATAAAACATTTGGTACACACATAGGAAACTTGGCTTACAAATGGAAAAAAAAAGAGATGTTTTATTGGGGAGATAAGGTAGGCGGGAGAAAGGCAAAATGTGAGAAGAGATGTCAGGTATTAAGGGCCAAGCGAAGTGGTGAGGAGAGGAGGTAGGGGGGGAGAGAGAGGAAGAGATAAGAGCCAGTTATTGAGGGGTATATAACAGCATCCTCAAGCCGGAAGAAGATAGGGCACAAATGAAAAAGTAAGAACTCGTGGAATTTCCTAAGAAACGTGGTCCTTACCGGCGAGGCTTGTCGCGAGGAGTTCGCCGAAAGACCGACAAAATACCGCCGAAGAAGGAGCCGAAAATGGCGTGCCAGAGTGCTTTGAAGAAATTCACTCTCTTGTGGATGGTTACAGATGTAATGGACCGGTCTCCAGTTCCCGTTTGAGGACGTGCGTCGTCTGCTACAGCCGGAGTCGGTGTTGGGTTGGTAGATTCTGCTGCGGCTTCGGATGGTTGAGCAGACTTGGTAGTTGATTCTGGCTCGGCAGGTATACCGCTTGTGGGAATCTGTGCGGTGGAGGGCTTTGGTGGCTGGACAGTTTCAGTTGCCCTGACGGGTGGCTTGTTCTGCTGTGTTGTCTCGGTTGCAGCAAGGGTACCAGTCGCATCTACCTTAATTTCAAGAGGTAATACTGTCTTGTGGCCATTAACAACTGCCTTGTCTGCCTTGGAGTCTTCTTTTGGTGTATTAACGTCCTTGGAACTTTCAGGGGCAGTGGCTGATGGCACTTCAGTTGGAGCGTTAGATTTATCGATGGAGGGCTCAGACTTTTGATCTGAGGTCACTACAGCGATGGCAGCAGCTGCTGTTGCCACTGCTACCACGGTCCCTGCAACTGCTACAGGATTAAGGTATCCGTCGTGTTCAATTTCCTTCACGACTTCTGGTTCGTTAATAGGCTCCTGTGGTGCATCTTCTTTTAGTACCTTAGATGTGGTGCCATTCGTTTCTACAATTGGATCTTCAACAAGCTCTTTAGGATCTTCAACTGCTTTAATGGGAGCATCCTTGGAGGGTTCTTGGGTGTCAGCATCCACCGCTGAGGGCTCGGCCTTAGCTGCGTCCGCAGGGGTCTCGACGAGAGGGTAGTCAGAAACATTCAAAGAAGCGGGTTGCACGATCTCAACGGCGATTATGTTGGAAGCTATGGCTTCGTCCAACTTCTCCTCTGCTTCTTCGTGGGCGGCTATTTCCTTAGGGTCAGACGCTGGAGACTCTGCCATTGGTTCCAAGACTGGGTCAGCTTCTTTAGATAGGATTTCAGCAGAAGACGGCTCGGGAACAGAGGCTTCAACGGGGCTAGCCACAGCGTCTTCAACATTTCCTGCTGAAATTTCGAGATATTTAGAGGCAGATGCATCATATGTGGGGTCTACAACATCAACGGGAGCGGGAGTTTCGGAGACAACTTCTGGCTCTTTCTCAGAAGCTGGTTTGTTAACAAGAGGTTGAACTTCTTGTTTGGTGACTGGCTGTTCAACAGGGGTCTCAGCAGCACCGGCGATTCCAGCAGGAGCAGCAGCCTCTTTAGGCTGTTCAACGGTTATGGTCGAATCAGTGGTGGATTCTTCAATGTCTGCGGGCTCCGATTCGGCATGGTCTGGTTCCACAAGAACCTCAGTGGCTTGCTCCGCTGGCTTCTTTGCCATCTTTGGTTCGATCAGGGCGGCTACAACTTCAGCTGGGGTAACTTCTGGCTCGTCAGTAAGTGCTGACTTCTCTGGTACCTCTGCTACGACCGGCACTGGTTCAGGGGTAAGTTCTTCTGACACGCATTCGTCTGCAAAAGCGGCAGCCGGTTCGGGGGTAGAATCTTGAGCAGGGACAACACTTTCTACTTTTGATTCAGCGTCAACAGTTTTGGGGACTTCAGGTTCTGCAACATGTGTTGAGTATTCTCGTTCCTTTGCGGGTGCGGGTGTATCCGCAGCCTTCTGTTCTGGTTCCTCCACAGGTGCGGGAGCCACAGGGATCTCTGGAGCATTTTTGTGAGTAGGTTCCGACGCCACATCGGAGACAGCAGCCTTAGAATATTTCGACGCCTCTGGTTCCTCCACAGGAGTGACTGTCTCAATGGGATCAGTAGCATGGGTTACTTCCTCAACTTCGTCAGATTCAAGGACATCATAGTTGATGGCTTTTGATCCCTTCAGCTCTTCATCCGCTGGCGCAACAAGCTCACCACTTGATTCCGAAAGACCCAGCTGCTCTGCAGCACAAGATGCTTCAGGTTCGACAGCAGCAACTTCAGAAGGTCTCTGTGATCCAGAAACTTCAGTTACATCCGATGTTGCATCGGTAGCAGGTACAGAAACGGGGATGTCAGCAAATTTCGAGGAGGTTTTCAGCTCCTTTGATTCTGGAACTTCGGGGATATCAGACGTCACGGCTATGACAGCAGCCTCAGGCTCTTTTGGTTCCTCTCGTGTTTTGGGAACGTCAGCAGTTGCAACCACATTCTCAGAGTCAAACTCCGGCTCAGGAACAGAAAGCTTGACAGGTTTCGTTGCTTCTGACTGGCCATTCGTAAAGGATTCAGCATCAGTAGTGGCAAAACTTGGTCCCACTGCAACTTCGGCAGGCAACTCAGGTTCAGCCTGATCTGCCGATAAATCCTTAACATGCTGAAATGCCTCCGGCTCATCGAGAATGGTAGCTGAAGCCCTTAGGGTGTCAATAGCCTCCACCTCTGGAAAAGCCTTTGGCCCAGGAACCACATCTTTACCTGGCTGGGAAACATCTAGCTCTGTTGGCTTGGAAGAAGTAACTTGCTCTGGAATGGACTCTGTTTCTAGCTCCGCAACGGCCTTGTGGTCAGATTTGGATGATGCCGGCTCTGCCACCTCTGGGACATCTAGCGCAGCAGAGGTAGCTTCTGCCGCTGGAGAAGAGTCAGATATTTCCAAGTCAGCGGCAGCGGGCTTCTTAACGGAAACGAGCTCCAAAGCAGAGACATCCGCTGTCCCATCACGGGCCGCAGGTTCAGCAGGATCAGCAGGATCAGCTTCGGCACCACCCTCAGCTGGAGCAACGTCCTCTACAGGTTTTGCTACCTCTGGTTCTGGTTCCAATTCCGGTTCTCTAAGAACTCCAGCAGCGACAACAGCGACCTCGTCTAGCTGTGGTTCCTTGGTCAGGGGCACCTCGATCTTTTGTTGTTCTGGCTCCGAGCTAGGTTCAGCAGTTACAGGCTGGATGACGTCATTATCGTCAACCTTGGCAGTTGTTGCAACATTCACTGCAGGTTCATCCTTCAGTTCAGCTTCGTCTTCGTCGGCAGGAGTGACCTGCAATTTCGCGTCCGTATCGTTGACAACATCCTTAACTGCAGTATCATCATTCACAGCCAATAGCTCTGATTCCGGAGCTGGAGTCTCTGCGGGAGCCTCGGGTTCAGGCTCCCGTGCGGTTTGCAATTCGTCCGATTTAGTCGTTGTTTCCGACAGCTGATCAGCTGGAGCTTCAGCAACTTCTTCTGCTTTTTCATCTCCCTCATAGCCCTTCTTTATATCTCCGTTTACCATAGTTGTTTGTTCTGCATCAACAGCATGCGATTGAGTCGGTTCGGGTTCAGCCGGGGTGTCGACTGCGGGGATTTCGGTAGGCTCACTAGCAGCTGGCACAGGGGTTTGTTTTGGCTGCTTAGGGGGCGCAGGGGGCGCAGGGGGCGCTAGGGCCGCCTCAGGGGCCTTATCATCACCCGCTAGGATGTCCTCTTGGGAACGCCGGTGCTCAATGACCTTTTGCTCCACTTCTTGATGTTCAATGTCTGCAGCAGCTTCTCCGGGTTTGCTGTCAGCCTTTGCAGGCACATTTACTACGGGCTCGACAGGCTCTTCTGTCTTAGCAGCAGTCTCTTCCTCCTTCTCCTCCTCCTCCTCCTCCTTCTCCTCCTCCTCCTCAGTTAGAGCTAGAGGATCGACTTTCGTTTCCTGCTCGATGGGTTTCAGTGCTTCGACAGGTTCTGCTGTGGGTTCGTTGTCATTGCTAGCGGCATCTTCGGTAACTATGGTCGCTGTTTCCAGAGGTTCCACTTTCAGGTCTGTAGGTGTGGTTAAAATGTCAGTTTTTGCTGCGCGCTCCGTAGCTTGAGCAGTATCATCTTCCTCCTTGGTCTTTCCTGCTTCTTTCTCCGCTGGTGGTTCTTCCTTGGCAGCAGCAGGCCTGTGTACAAGATCAGTCAGTGCCTCCACAGGAACTTTGGCTGGCTCTGATATGATATCTTTCGCTTCTGAAACATCTGCTACATCGCCGAGTTTCTCATCAACCACGGTATCAGCTACGATCGAGGCATCTTGGGTAACTGCTGCCGTTTGGGGATCTTCTCCCACTGCAAGAACCTCTGCCGCTGTATGTTCAGTTGGTTGTGCAAGTTCAGGAAGAATGTCATCTGTTGAAGCTTCGGATTTGATAGTCGAGTCCGCAGGGATAGAGTCGACCTTGGTTGTATCAGCAGCGCTCTTCCAATTTTCTACGGATTGAACCGGAACATCGTCATCTTTGATATCCTTCGCAGCTTTCTCAACGTCGTCACCGCCTGCCAATGGCTCAGCAGGGACATCATTGGTCTCCTTAGCATCAGACAAAATTTCAATTTTGGTCGCCTCCCCATCCCCATCTTTCGCTCCATCGACTTTCTCTTCTTGGTCTAGGACAGTAGTTTCACTAGCTACATTTTGTGGGTCTGAGTCGTCTTTCTTAGCAGAGTTGTTAGGTTTTTGGATGATTGGAACAGCCTCTACGGCTACAACGTTATTTTCGAACCCATCGTCGTCCACAACTACGGAACCATTTATCAGCTCCGACGTCACAACATATTTTTGCACCAAGGAGTGACTCAGTGGTTGCTTACCAGTCGTGGCATCCTTATCACAGAACCAAGCACCATCCGGTCCTAGCCGGAATTTGTATTGGTGCTGGCCAGTAGCTACGTCGAATGACTTCGAGAATTCGTATTGGGTATCTGGAACATCGCCATTGGCCTGCGCAGCCGAATCCTGATCTGCAGATGGAGGGAGGGGTTTGACATTGAGCTCGACTGGTTCCCAGGCGGGTTCAGTGAAGGATCCAACAAGGAAAATGGCGGGAGTCTTGCTTGACCGACGAATGGCAATGTTGATACTACTCCTGCTAGTATCTGTCATCATGGGTAGTTGTTCTGTGAAGTCGTTACTATCGTGAAGGTCCAGGAGGGAAGAGGGAAACGAGAAGCGGAGACGGAGTTGTGGGGTCGAGTAGAATAGCACGAACGGAGGGTTTCACAATCAATGGATAAAGAGTGATTCTATACAGCAGGAGATGGTGGTTTAATGTTACAAAGAAGCACAGAAGTAAAGGCAGCAATACCCCAGAAGTACACACACAGGGTGGTAAACTAGATATAAACCAAAAAAAAAAAAAAAAGTAAACAAAAAACACAACAAAAACCTCCCAAGTTCCAAGAAGAAACACAGAGAGGGGTAGATTAAAGAGACTCTTGCTTTTCAATGGGATACACCAACCGACAACGGTTGTGGGAGAGCGGGACTGTTGTCGAATGTAAGGGAAGCAGATTCGTGGAGAGGAGAGGAACAGGAAGCGGGTGGGAGAGCAAAGATACAAGACACTAGCTCTGACTTGCAACAGTGTGTGTGTGTGTGTGTGTGTGTGTGTGTGTGTGTGTGTGTGTGTGTTGGAGGATAGGGCAGCAGGAGAGAAGACGGCAACTTGGAATCGGTTCAAGAGACGTGAGAGTGAGGACAGGGTTTGAGAAAGCAAAGAAGGGAAAACAAAGCAACGCTTCAAAAAAGAGCAGGTGGGGGGAGAGAAAAAAAAATAATAATAATAAACAGGCGTGCGAATTTTGGCCCCGATGGGCTTCAATGGTGGAGCCAACCGAACAAGCCGGCTTGGGAGCTTGGGTAACTTGGGGATAGGTTTGAACTTTGGATTTAGGCGCACAAAATCGAAAGGAAAAAAAAAAAAAAATTTAATATGATTTGTTGCTTGATGTCAACAATGGAGGTGAGAGATGAATGATTGATTGATTGATTGGATGTGCACTTGTTAATATTTCCAGATAACAACTCCGCAACTACTTCTCCATGATACTTTTAGGTTGTGCTTTTCTGGGTCCCTCTCTGTGAATCAATCATACGGCATAACAATAATAACCATACGAATCTTCCTCTTGATGCCAGGGCAACGGCGACATGAACGAAAGCGAGGAGGGACTGCGGGAAAAAAGTGGATTGGATGCATGCAGAATCGATTTGTTGTCACGTTGGTGATCAACGAAACGTCGCATGCACACATTGACTCATTCCATGGTGTAGCAACACCGGGTTCCGAATGAAGCTCGTAAGCATGATGGCTAGATATTTTTACTTACCTGTCATAGTTTGGCCTTCTCGTTTGGTTACCAAGGATTAATGAGAGCATTATAGTGATCGCGGTGAATAGCGCGTAGCCTGCCAGGGGATAGGGATTGCGTTTCCTGCCGTGTAGCGCAGCGTTCTCCACAATAGGGATCATACATAGTTATATGATGACTGCTCCAACCATTGTTCTTCCGGATGTGATTATTTGTTTTTGTCCATTCCATTCCTCTTGAACTGAAGCCGCTACTCTAAAACAGAGATGGGTGTTTTTGCGGAGATGTAAACTACTGAGCAAACTGGGAAAGTAAACAGCAAATTACCCAAAAGAATGGCCCAAGGGTCCTCCGCATTGACACAGCGCTCGCAGATGATTGGCCCAAGGGGAGAATTTTCCAAAGCCTTTTTGTGTTTGTTGCTGGCGCTAGCTAAGGTTCGGCCATACGCTAAACTTTGGGGAATTGTGACGGGCGCAATCTTGACAGTTCAAAACGACGGGATTTGGTGTTCCATGGAATGATTACGTTTTCGAGACCAAACAGTAAGATCATCTGCTTGGCATGGAGTAGTTATATACACAATAGCTATATATATATATATATATCAGCGACAGAAGAGGGTTTATTCCTTCCTCAGATAGCCGAAGCAATTTCAAATTGGTGTTGCTGATGTTGATGTTGTTGCAAGTAACTAACTACTCATCAAGCGCTAAATTGACCGTGTTGCCTCCGCTGCGCTAGCGGTGAAAGAGGCCAAGAGGATCGTTTTGTCCGCTAAATTAGAAGCTGGCTTCGAAAGAGCTTGCTGGCTACTCGAGGCTTTACGATTTTATATTTGTTTTCCTGTTTGCACCCTAGGTCTGATTCATGTATTGCCGGCACTCGAAAGGAAAAGTGAGGTCAGTTTCATACGAAAAGACTGGTGATTCGAGTTAAAAGAATATATCAAGCCCTTGGCTTGTCTTATCGTCCTCATGAATTAGAGGTCCGTATCAGGCGGAGAGCTTCTTGACCCGGGGGGGTGAATGTCAATTTCCGCTGGTGTTTCTCGACGGTTTTCGATTAGCTTCCTGCTCTTCTGACGATCGAGGTACCGAGATGAGATGTGATCAATGGTTGACTTTTTCCAAAATCTTAGACTCGATGGCGCGGTACAAAGTTGCAAGATAGAAATAAATGAATGAAGGATCGAAGGAAACATGTCTCGAATGCCGGGGGCAAAGGTACACGTCATAGATTTTGACAGCTGGCAGTCACTATGCAGTGTTGGTTGATGTGCGGTGCGTGCGGCTTTGGGGGAAACTCTTTCATGCGGCGAATGATCGCCCCAGGCTTATGCATTTCTATTTTATGGAAACAGTATAGTTATCTCAATCTCCTGCTGCGGTTTCAGATGAACTTTGGTTGTGAAAGACCTTTGATCGAGAGAGTTCCTCGCATTATCCATCTCTCAAAAATACACAAGTATTCATCACCAAAGATATTCCGTATGAAAACAGCTGTGGGATTTTGTCTACATTTCTGTTCTCTTCCTTTTCGAGTTTGAGTGATTTTATTGTTATTGCAGCTGATGTGGATGATATTTTGTTAAGGATTTCATGACTCGTCAAAATATGTCGAAAGTGTAAAATTTATGTAGATAGGTATTAACAAAAATATGTGTGCATCGCGCCAGGACAGAAAAAGGGGAACCTTGAACATTTGCAGATGAGAATCGAAAGCATTCAGGAAGTGATTTTGATGCAGTGCCTGGATACTTATATCCAGATACAATTCCTCCGCAATTCGGGTCATCGATTTCCATTTGACCCATTCCAAAGAAGACAACAATTCTAAACATACTGATGAACATCCTTACCATCTCCCAACTCGCTTTCTCCTGCACAAACCTTGGAACGCCACCCATTATCCTGCCCTATTCGCCTGCCCGGGTGCAAACCAACCAGCTCTGTCTTCATTCCATGGGGATACACGTTTGCACTGCCTTAAAGACACCTATGTAGCTCACCAAGACAGGTAGAAACACTCAAAATCAAGATTACGGGCTACGAAGAGCAGCATCCGTCGCAAGAAAAAGAGTAAGACGATGGGACAAGGCCCGGTGAAATAGAAAATCCCAGCTTATTTGTTAGCGGAGACAGTTTATGGAAATATTTAACTCTCTTGCCGAGACTCCTCATCACCAGAATGACCATCAATGTGACTGATAATGATATCTTTCATGCATGCACTATATGGCACCCTCTCAAAAAACCCCCAAGTGCACTAGGATGACGTGCGCGAGTTTGTAGTTCCCTCCACGAGATCAGCAGGGCTTTCTGAGATTTGGCGAGGATGGGGAGACATGTTGACAGACACTCACATTGAATTTGGTTTCGCTGGAAATGCCGATGCGTGTATCGATGATAACGCAGGTGATTATATCGGGAGGTGGAGAGTACTCGTGGAACGGTCTTTTCGCGTGTCGCCTTTCTTTGGCCCCTCCGCCTCAGTTTACCACAGTTTGGAGTCCATCATATAACTATATGTGCGTAAACAAAAAACATCTTGAGTATATGGATTCCCCACTCTTGGGAACATTGGGATCATCGTTTTAAATAGTTGCCCTGACTTTGGCTGCTCTGGGCAATGATTCTCATGAGTATATTTGGTGTCATTGGTGGTTAAAAATAGATAACTCGTCCATTGCTATAAGGATATAGGATATATGTGTTCAAAGGAATTATGACTTGAAGAACAGCGAATCTCTTCGCCTGACTTTATCAAGATCGATCTGATAGTTAACATTGGTAAGATCAGAACAAGGAGTTTATATCACCCACCCCCCTTTTTTTTTCCTTTTTGTTGCTGCTGTTGTTCTCTGAGAAGTTGTAATGCGCGTATTTAGCTCAACATTAAAATTGTCCATAGTTTCTTATGATCTGTCTTTCATTCTCGTTATATTAAGAAATTCAATGTATGGGCGAGCTTTAACCGCAACTTTCACAGTTCTTGAATGGTTACTGATTTCCTCTACAGCCACTACTCGTAAAAACGAACAACATAAAGTCTACGTACGCTACGAAGTTCTGTAAGGATAGGGGCAGAGTTAAAGTAAGATCTTCTGTCTTACTTCTAGTATCCTTTTTCCAGGCTCATCTCTATTTTCTCATGTCTGCTTTCCCGCTACGCGGGCATTTCTCTGCCCAATACCCAAGTTACTTCGCTTATGATCGCTTTAGTCCTGGCATGGAGCCCCGAACGGTTTCATTCCCTGTTGTGTCTATACTATTAGCAAACGACGAATATGTTTTGCCCAATTTCTTTGCAATGACGGACATGTTTCCACAGAGGCCGTTAAAGTGGGGGTGAAGTCCTTATCACACAACAACATTGGACAATGTTCTTGATAAATGATTGCTCAGTCACCGGGAAAGCATTATGAGAGATACCGCTACAGAAAAATTTAGACAGATAGGGTGTTGGGTTCTGTAGAATTGTGGGGAACTTCACCAGTGTAAATGCAGATCTTTCTACCTCCCACGGCAGTTGTAGATACGACATCTTTGAAGTCAAGTCCACCAGGGAAGCGTTTACGTGTTACCATTACGGGAGGACTTCTATCCATGCACACCACTGCACGAAGGCCTACTTGTCGCCCCGTCACTCAACGCCTAAAATTACCAGTCATATGCCATATGGGAAGTGACTTCAAACGTCTCTCATCGTACCCCATGCCCAGATCGCACTAGAAATGGTTGGATGAAACTCATCTGTTGGCATACGGCACTTCGAACAATTTTGCTTAGTAGCAGTGCCAATGGACAGAACTACCGCAAGGCCCACGTCAACAGGAACAGTCAATCTCAGACGCTCAGGTACTCTCCTGCATGGATAAAGAAGCGACAGGTCTGTTGCGCCATACCCATTTGACTGCTAATAGTAGCGGAGCTCCCCCATTTCAATTTGCAATCTGTCAGACCACCAGCGGTCGACTCTCTTGTAAGCTCGAGGGCCGCGATGCCTTCCTAGACGCAGCTTCCTTATTGATCATATTAAGAGAATTGGCAAGAGTGTATGACGGGTAACTCTCTTCCACTTTAGGGCCGCCGTGCTGTCCAGCAGTTGCGTACCTTTGCGAGATGGCTAATAGGAACAAGATGGACTGCTGGAGGAACAAGATGGATGGCACCCAACCGTGTATATTCATTCCCACACCCTGAAGGCGACGAAGATGGGGAGTTTCGTACTCTAAAGGTAGTATTTGCGGACAAAGCTTTGCTGAGCCACTTCTGCCTTGAAAACGGAGTTACCATGAGCAACATTCTTCAGATAGCCTGGGATATGGTATTGCAACAATACACCAAGATGAACGATGCATGCTTTGGGACAGTCGACTCTGGGAGGGACCTCCCAATTCGAGATGTCCAGGATATTGTTGGCTCATATTTTCAACGTCGTAGTTTGTCGAGCACATATTTCTAAAGAGGATGACCCTTCGCCACGTCTTGGTGCGAAATCAAATAGGGATCGGAAATCGACTGCGTAATGGGTGCTGCTCACTCATTGATGTCTTGCAGCTTTCTATGCACTTCGGCAAGCCGTCATTCAAGCACATGCATCTCGGTAGAGCAACCATTGTCAAGTGACGACGGGAATTGTGAAATTTGCTTCACGGAGATAGAGACATATGAGTCGACAGAGGTAGGTAGTAACATTGACGCTAGGGAAATGGCAGTTGCTAACTGTCGCGATAGTATGTGACATAATTATCAATACTGGTATTGGGAGGGCAAACGTCAAAGCCACTTTCACATATTGAGCTTCCGGATTGACCGATTCCCACGTTATTCTCGTTGCCGACAAATTCAGAGATTTCATGTCCCAATCCTTGCTGTTATTGACGTTAACGGATTGCTTAAGGCGGTAATGGGAAATGAGAGTTTGTATGCTGATCTGAAATGGAGAAGATATAGATTTGTTGAAGTGAGCAGGAAGGGTTCATTTTGGCGCTTTTGTCATGTTTCCGCATTCTTTTCAAGATTTCTCCTGGTATAAGCATCGATCCGGGATTGAGGAAGGCCGAGTAAAACGGCCGTATCTTGGTTAGTTAATTGGCAGAATGCCAGTTCATTTGATCGCTTTCTGTGTGAAAATTTGCTGCTGTATCTGGTTACATCTTATGGATACAGAGTAGAGAAATGGTGTAATTCGATATTTACCACAGCCAGCCCTGGGAACAATGTCGTCCCAGGAAAAAACAGAAGGGGAATGATTTCAGGGAATGATTAAGCCATGGATGCAGTTCAATGACCTGAAGGGAAAGGAATTTCTCTGGAGAGCCGCAGGGATTGGGGAATACAACAGCAAAGCCATTATATCATCTCTTCCTGGAGTGTTCCAGGTGCATTCATACCACCATATCGGGCCGACTGTTCCCGTTGTTCCATAATAGCTCTGACGCACCGTATATCCGGAGTTCGGGACATGGCAGAGCTTAGAGCTAGCCCCAAATTCGAACATCGCATATTGTCTAGCTGATGGTTTCGCATATCTGGCGCGTATGTTCACCGCGTTCATGGGGGCAATTGAGCTATTGAGCATGTACAACAAGACACATCCATGTCATGACAGCACGCACTGACCAGCCAATTTGATGCTCCAAAGTTCAACCAAAGGCACAGGGGGGTCCCGCCTCGATCTAGCTGCGCTAACCCCTCCAAAGAGCGAAGTATCCCCTCGGACGGGCTAATCATAGTGACCAGCTGTAAGACGGGGATCACCTTCGTGCGGCCCGGCCGATTAACAGAATATGTAAACAGAATATATCCACCAAAAACCACGTCAAAACTCCAACTCCTCCTTTTATTCTTAATTTTTGCGATTTTCAGAACTAGTTCCTCTAAAATACGCCACCAAATTGAGTTTTTGTATGTAAATTACAGTAGAATGACATACAAGAACATGGGGATGAGAAAAGGGGCAACTTGTAATTATAAATACCCGCCAGAGAATGGCAGGACAACAATGATCAGAGATTACTAAGCCAATGAGATTCTACACTTGCACGTTTGATACCAGCCACCAGTGAGCTTTTTAAACCCCGAGTCGTTGAAGGAGACGGCAATTATATCTTACTTTGAATACCAAGTTGAATCGCATGAATATCGTCAAAATTGAGTGGAAGGCGACAGCACACGTTCAATTATCAATCACAGTTTCCAACCCTAGAATTTCTTTCTTATGCGCCTTATCCAACATTTCTTCACTGGGCGAGCCCACAGCTAGCGGCCTCTGTTGGGTGTTAAACATGTCGATGATCCCAGCTGGGCTGGTGTTGATTTAAACCAACAAGCATCGCACGGTCCTATGGCTAGCGAGATTAGACCATTACTATCGAGACGCTAAGTTAACTCAGCCCCGCAAAAAGCTCAACATCAACACGAGGCTGTCGAGCGTGGAGAGACATGGCCAAAAATCACAAAACACATTAAACAATAAACAGCCACAGCCGCCACTCCACAAGAAATGCTCCCTTCTCCAAAAGTATGCCCTGACCGTATAAGCATGTGCATTCTCATCCAATCCACGAGCATAGTTAGTTGAAGTTCTGTCAACATCTTTCCACGGGTCGTATCCGCTGACAAGGCGTCGGGTCCTCTGCAATCAAACTGGTCCATCAGGCACAACTAAGATGTGGCTTTTGGCGCTTTCCTGGACTGAGGCTGAAACATACCCGAGGAATAGTATCTCGAGATTTGAGATGACTGAATCTGACTACAACTCAGCTGATCTGCACTCAGCACATTGCCGAGAAGGATCAGAGAAACCAAAAAGTCTCAACGTCGACCAAACCCATTCATGTGTTTGTTTTTGTTGAGACTTGGCATGCTTGGATTTTATTTATTTATTTATTTATATTTTTATTATTATTTTTCCCTCTTCCCGGACACAGCCCATGCGCCTCTTGTATTGGCTATGAAACCAAGGTCCCTGTTACAGTCCCAAACCACTCCCTGGGCCAAATGCAAATATGCTCTCGCATTTTGGAGAGGAGTTTTTTCTGTGTGTTGGCTCTTCACATACAATTCTATTCTTAGTGGCATGGCTGGATTCTCGAACTTTGTTTTCATTAAACGGAGGATGATATACGAAGCTTATGATTTACTTCGCACACGAATGTTTCTCTTTAGCGTTTGGCTCCCCCTATCAGCTCATAGAAAATTTTAGCATATATTAAAGGAGGACTTTTGTCCTTGATTTTGGGTGAAAACCGGTTGCCCCTTTTTGTATTCGTATGTCCTCCTAGCCTTTTGTGCCTCATTTCAAGTGATATCACCCTTATATCCAAATCCAGTCTATCCCATTAAGAACCTGAGCAACGCGAAGTCGAGCAGGGGAAATGCCTCATTTTAAACCTCTGTCCCTTAAGGCGTTGCTCCTCCTAGCAATGACCCTTGGCGCAATCGCCAACCCCTTTCCAAACCCCCAGAACGATGCCGTGCAATGCGGTACCAACACCTGCAACAACGGCGACGTATGCTGTAACGAAAGTTGCGGCATCTGCACTCCTCCTGGTGGTCTATGCACCCAGCAAGCCTGCAAACCACCTACAGATTCGGTTGATCGCCCTGTGAAGTGCGGTCCGAACACCTGCAAAAAAGGCGACGTGTGCTGCAACGAAAGCTGTGGTATCTGCACCCCTCCTCGCGGGGTATGTACCCAGCAGCTCTGCGAACCGAAAGACGTCCAATGCGGTCCTACAATCTGCAGGAGAGGCCAGGTCTGCTGTAATAAGAGCTGTGGAATTTGCACTCCCCCTGGTGGAGGGTGTACCAAACAAGCCTGCTTCCCTCCCCCCGCGAAATGCGGCTCGACGACCTGCCCTTCTGGCCAAGTGTGCTGCAACGCCAGCTGTGGAGTCTGCACTCCTCCTGGTGGGGCTTGTACCCAACAAATCTGTCAGGATCCTGCGACGACAATCAATGATATGTGATATGAATTAATTTGAACATGATCTGGAGAATCTGTTAAAACAGGAAGTCTTTTACTTATCTACAGGCGAAAAGTCATTTATCCTTCACCGTCTGACCTTCTAATAGTAATAGTTTCTATGTTAATGGATAGATTAGATATCTATGGTATTGTTTTGTTTAATTGATCATCGTTTATTATGTACAGACATAGATACCATCATATCAAAGAGACATGAAATAGCAAGCCAACTGGTTTCGGCTTATTTTGTTCTCATCCATATCCATATTTGTGAATCACACAAGCTATTTCAACCATTCAAGTGTAGTTAGGAGTTAACCAAGAGAGCCTTATTACAGAAAATTAACACGAAACAAACAATGCTGGAAACTGGAGACAATCGTCCCTTTTTATACACATGCATGAGAATAGAGTCCTAAGTGCGTACTGCGTAGAAGATGTCGGAAGCCAACCTGCAGCTTAACGGAACCTTGGTTGGTCTGTGGATAGAAAAACCCACTACCATAGTTTATTTGCTGGGGGCTAGTCAAAGCTTTACCTCAACTTCTAGGGCTAGTGTTCAGCACTCTAGATTTGCTCCTCCAGGTTAACACAGGAGTTCCCTGGCAGTAGTTAGACATGCTGCAATTGGGAGGAGGAAGAAAGGCCAGTAAAGGAAATAGAAATGAACGCACACAAGTTCTACAGGAGAAACCGGGACAATCCGGGTGCTACCTTAAACCCCAGGCAGTAAAATAAATCAAATCACTGTACAGAGAGGTGTGGAACATAATTATATGGAATAGAAAGTAGCTTCAATATTCAAATAAACAAATACCCCTGAATCTCTATTCTACAAACATATAAATTTACGAATTATTCTGTAAGCTCTGTATCATTCTCTCAAGTATCTTCCTCAAGCAGTGAATCTAAGTCTGTACACAGCACTGTCAAATCTACAGCAGCTTCAAAGTGAGCAGCTGCAGCATCTGCTAGAGTTCCATCTTCTAGATTCTGCTGCTTTGAAATATGCCCAGCAAGCCATTGATCTTTCCAATTGTGAGCTTTGGAATTGCTCTTCTTATATTCATTGCCACCTTTCAAGTGTATAACCTCCTGAATATGATGCACAATTCATTCAATCCATGTCTGAATTTTTGTCTGTGGAAGTTCTTTCCAGGTCTACAATCAAGCTTCTTTTGCAGTCTTTTGTTAACAAGGAAGCTCCCCTAACTGCTAGGAATGAGAGCTTGAACTCACAGTTTAATAGAATGGTGTGGCATAATTGCATTTGTAGAGATTAAAGCAGGTGTTGAAAAAGGCTTTGAATATAGAATTTTGCAAGTTATTCACTCAAATGAGGTAGATTGTTGAGGTGGGAATCAAGGGTAGAAGAACAGAGTATGGAGCAATTGTTTATTTGAATATTGAAGCTACTTCTTATTCCATACAAATTAGGTGGGGTAATTGGTATTTGTGATACGCCAAGCAACACTACTTGTAAGTCATTACTTTTTTTTGTTCCAACACCTCCGTAGCACTCTTATAAAATCTCCAAGTCGTCAAATTCCACGACCAGGCCACCAGCTCGAACGCTACCACTCGCGTCGTCCGTGGCACGATTTCCCATGCTGTTTTCATGCTCCCCTGCCCCAGCCCCAGCCCCTGGAGCTTGACCTTGAACAAACGGATGCCCATTCCTCGATTCCCAAACGGTACTGCTGATCGAAGAATTCGCCGGACGACTGGCATAGACACCAACATGGACGTTCTTGGCCTCAACGCCCCAAAAGAAAGAGGTTACCTCGCGAAGTTTTCGCCAAGTGTTACTCAACGCACTGGGTGTGAGCGAATAGCCTGTTGAAGGCAATTGGTACCAAACCCAGAGCGAGTGGTCGATGCGCTCGAGTTTTATGCGCAGAGAGTCAATTGATGTAGGCTGGTTAGGTAGGGCCAAGGGACATAGACACCAATCTGCGCCATCCCCTGCAGCACTCACTGATGAAGCATTGACGGTCCCTGCGGAAAATTCTAGACCAGCTTTTACCCATTTGCAGGGTGCAGGGAGGCGGGGCGGGGGCGGGTATGGGTATGGGGAAGGCGATTGATGCTCGCCAGGAGTATTAGTATCAGGATTACTGTTGCTATTATTGTTATTACGGTTAATAGTCGGTCGTGGTGGTGCTTGATGGGACGGCGCAGGACCAGCAAATATAACCAATCCACCCTGATCGCATTCCATCTCCCAGTCAGCTGTGACTGTCACCTCCGCTATAGTGAACGGCTCACACAGCGATGTAAACAAAATGGGCGCTGTTAAAGTGTCACAGTCGGGTAGTTTGCGCCAAAGATTGGTATTGGGTGCTGCTCCCAAGCTGAAATGGTCCATGCATGCTGGGAGAGAGATATTTGATGGCAGGTTCAGCGGCGTAAAACACGATCTGTCGGGTGGCATCGTTGCAAAACCTGATTCTGCCGATATATCACGAATCGATGTCTACACAGAGCGCGTCAATTCCAGTCCGCGGTTCGTCTCCCTCCCCCCCAGCTACTGAGATCTCCTTGCTTTTGACGTCAAATATTTAGGCGGAGATATGTCGTTGATCGGTCTCTTTACCTTTCCCTTTGAATTTTGGTCGAACTCTGCCACAATTCTGTCCACAGAGATACTGGGAGAATGTGAGCAAAATCGTGAATCCCCGTTGACCCTAGTTAGTATATCTTTGGAGATATCCTGACTGTATCAACAGCTGGCCTGCGGACTTGCTGGCTTGCTGTCAGAGCATCGAGCTAAGCACCGCTAGTTGTCAGGTAGAAGAGGTGCCCAATTTCTTGTTTGTGTGTGTAACGGAAGGGCGATTTCCAAATTTCCGCGTAATACCCGGAGAGTGTTATCCAATCATTCGAAAAATAGCTGCCGTATGGATTGCTGCTACCGCGGATATAACTGAAAATGACTGAGGATCTTGAAAGGGGATTTATTATTACATAGGTAGTAGTTATAGGGAAGTAGTTAATTAACGAATTAACAATTAACTGGCAGATTACCCCAAAGGTGTTTTATTCAATAACTATATCCAAATAATGCACTATATCGGGAGGCGTGAGCGGGTGAAAACATAGAGCTCCAGTGGAGCTTCAGCTTGGATTAGTTATAAGACGGTGGCGTCTGTTTCTTTGAAGCCAGAAACGAATGGCGGATGTCAAGCGCAACGAGCGATTGGAGGAGAAAACAGCAGAAATCACAACAGAGATATATTTTCATCACTCCAAGCTCTGGATGGCGACAAGCGAGTGATTGAGAAGAGAAAAAGGCAGATTTGCGTATTAAAATGAGGGATGAGAGGCTTAACTACATTTTCGATTAGGAAGAAATGAATATGCTATATCGCGGCAATTCTTTTACTTCATTTCGGGAGGATGATTTCTCCGCATCTCGACGCCTTTTACGAATGGAGGGGAGAGAGAAAGTTTGACATCTTTTCCCGAAGAGCAGACACAAAAACCGTGCATAGAGTGTGCATTGACCCAACATCCGTCTCTGATGACGGCGATATTACTCAACCTGGCCGCCCTGTCTCCTTTCCTTCTGCATCATCCATTGAATCCTGTCCACTCTGATCCCGGTAGCCTGGTTCAGAAGAGAATTCGCAGAGGACGGGATTTGAAGCTTTGCTCCAAAAGGTCCGTGGGCATCCTGCTATTGGATGAGCTCATGGTCAGCCAACCGGATATTACCAAAAGGACAACCTGCACACTGCATTTTTCTACATATATTAGTTGCTCTTCGTTTTCGGGAAATTTCCACGGCGACAAGCCTCGCCGAAAAAGAGCTCCATGGATGCAGGTTGACTGTGCTGGACAGGTCTGGGTATTTCCAGTATGTACTTCATGCGTTCATTCACTAGGGATGACAGAAGGCTTTGCAGTTAAATAACCAACGATGCTGATTCTGGCTGACCCCTCCACTGCTCTGCATGAGCATAGGTTGGTGGAACCATCAACCCCTGCTTTTGCCACACTGCGAACTTCAAGCCCTCTGAACCTGGAGGGATACAGTATGGAAAGATTCAGAAAGACACGTACAAAATTCTCAGTAGCTATTGATTAGGCCATTGATAAATAACGAAACCCGTCATATATCGTTTGCTGTCCACGCAAGTTGTTAAACTAGGAGTACGAGGCGCCTAACCGGGTCGATAGAATTCATTAATTTCAATTCCCGCTAACTCAAACTCCACCCTCTGTCCTGCCGATACATATTTGCTTTTAAACGGAAAAGAAAACACAGCCTGGACCGGATGGATCTGCTTGAGACCGAAAAACCCAATTCGCCATCTGGCCCATTCCTTCAATTTGGCAAAATGGATTATGTCTCGCTCGTTGTATTGGGATTGCACCAGTCATGAATTTTTCTTTCAACCGCTGCACCCGGCGTCAGAGCCAATCTTCTCGGAAGAATAGATGGATGGGGCTAATGTTGAACATTCTTAGCAGAGACGGGAGGTCGAAATAAACTTCACCAAACAGGGTTAACTAAAGATCAATGATGGCTTTCTAATAGGTTTTCTCAACTCAGCCTTATGGTGGTCTAGCCCGTACACTCTAATTATAACTCTAAATGGGCTGTAGGATCTGGAACTAGACAATGTATAAGAGATAGCTTTCTGCACAGGGTGTTGAATTCACTCTCAGTGCTCCAGGAGACCAAGCGCATAGATCTCCTGTTAGATCAGAGGATCATGCGTGTGATGAAACATGCATGTTAGTACGCAGAATTTCTTCTATCTCAATGCATGTACTATGTCTCACTTCCAACGGACAGGAATTGATCTCCAAAAGAATGCCTCGAACAATTCACAATCTACATGCCCCGGGAGAAGATCCGCGATTTCCTCACTGTTGATTTCAAACTGGTCGAGTTGAAGAGCATCCTTAAATATTATTGTCCGATTCCGCCATTTTGACTGTTGGGAAAGCCCTAGTGAAGAGCCATAGTTCGCTGTCAAAACGGAATCAAGCCGTGCTTCGCGTCCATAACCTTTGATCTTGACTATGGCTTCCACACCTTGAATGATCAATACTTGATCGTCCCGCAGCGGAGGTGTGATCAAAGTGATTGGGTAGCATTCTGGCGATGAGTCCACTTGCACCTCTTCCTAGGTGCCAGTTTGTCCAAAGCAAACATTTTGTTGGCTGGGACCACACATGCCCCGTGTGGAAGCCTAGCCATGACACCTCTGTTGATTGAACGGCTAATCCGGTGGCTGTCATTGGGCAAGGGGGGGAACTCTAAAAGGGATGGATCCAGCTGCGCAATTTAGTCTTCTTGCAGAGTTCGCAGAATAGACATGATAGGCTAGTTCTTTACCAGTTGGGAAGGTAATGTATTCACAACTCCACGATCAGTTCCAGCTCTAGCGCCACTTAGCCGCTCGAAGTAGGTCAAATGGAAATTAAGGTGCGCCCGCTTTGCCTTGGGGTGCATGGAACCTGAACCTGACCGAATACCAAATCCGAAAATCCTTGGAGCTGTCTGTGGCCCATAGTTGGCTTTGCAAATTGCATAGGAATTGGTGGATAAACAGACACGAAACCTGGGTGTCTGAGATTATCAGCTCGCAACTTTCTTCGGTGAGGCAGGGGAGAGAATCCTCTGGGAAGAGCTGAGGCAAGTCCAGAGCCAGCTGGACTATACTTTGCCACACAGAGGTGAAAAAGGGAGTTTCTCTTAAACCGCATTCATCTTGCAGAAAAATCACGCAAGGTATGATAGTCTAACAGACCAGAGGAACAAGGGTTGCTGAAATCGCTTCTAGCTGTTCGACAAGTTCTCGCCAGCTCATGATCTGGGAGGAGAGCATGGTTTTGAGAATTTGCCAGGATGGGGCTTCGTCATTGACTGATTCAAGGAGGCTGAACCAGTCAACGCAGAGCAGACTTACGGAGCAGGGTAAACATAAAGCCTACTTTTGATAGACAAGGTAGGTTCTTAGAACTTGGCTGCCAATAGGACGAGGTATATCAAAGCAGCAAATGGAAAATGTCAGGATGATGAGATTCATGGGAGTTAGATTTTATCCGAGGGATTGCGGGACCGATGCCAATGCGGGGCGATTAACCACCACACCCATTCTTCAAGCAAGCAACAGAGTTATCTTCTGGGTTCTGGATACAATCCGAAATTGTTAGACTGTAATGACACAAAAAACATCCATCGTTAGCAAAGGTCTGATTTTTCCTTGACTCAGAATCTTGGCTTGCATTTGATGGGGGTTAATTAGTCAAAACATGTGATTCTCTTGTTAGCTTCATGTGGCGCATATATCAACCACGTTTCCCTGTCAACGAAGATTCATAGATCGAACCATCCAACAACTTAGCACACCGTCAACATACGATGTGATCGTCTCTCCTGCCTGCGCTTAGTTTGAAGTATAACCCCACTAAGCTCACTAAATCTTTTTGCAGCCTCATCCAGGCTAATTATACCAGCTCATTTCCTCCCTGTTTTCAGACCAACATATCTTCTTTTCGACAAGCGTGATCTTGCCGCTGTCAGTAAATCGCGGTGAAATACGGAGCACAAGCATTTCAACAACCTTGAAATAACCTCCTCAAAATGGTATGCTCCAAGTGTCAAAGAAAGCTCAAGAAAACCGAGCTTGCCACTCCGGCTATCAAACGGAAGAATGATATGTACTATGGCTCTCCACACAACACCATCGGAGGTGGCGACGCAAAGAACAGGTCATCTGCAACACTAGGCAATACTGGAATTTCAAAGGTATGTATCCTTTAACCTGACTTGACCAGAATTGGGGCGTCTGTTATCCGATCTCCCTCGCTTCTTAGTGTTGCTATCAACCTGGTTAGTCGAATTCAATGTATTGCTTGAATTCAATGCCCTTGTGGCATATTTTGATTGAGTCTCCAGTATCCCATTATCCATTTTGCCTGAACATAGTCAAACGCATCATGAGCCTGTCTTTTGCGATGGCTATTGTCTTTTATGAGCGCCTAGTCATCTATACGATATTTTGCCGCTGCTCCATATGCATTGATCAAAGAAATCCTTGAGACGGAGGCCTTTCACCTTATCCGTATCCTGCAGCTATCGGATTAATGCAGCTTATTGTTTCCTTCGTTCACTTTTAAACATCACCTCGAGACCATTCAAGTCTAGAAGCACACCACCGATCTTTGGAACTTCCACTGACGCTTTCCACACAGAATAAGCTCCTCACCAGCAAGGCTAAAAACCCATATTCCGCATATTCTAGCGCCTGTGAGTCTTGCAAAGCCAAAACAGAGCAAGGAAGGAAATTCTGTCAACGGTGTGCTTACCAGAGAAATGGTAAATATTTCCTGTTTTCTGCACACTTTCCCATGCGTAATTTACAACATCTCTTGATATCACGAGGCTAATATCCCATTCCCAGCTTGCGCAATGTGTGGCAAGAATTTAACCGCCACGGGTAAAGAGTCAAAGGAGCATCCCGTCGTACAGGGACAGAAATTTAATTGTAAATGAGCGACATTTACTACGTGGTACGTGGTATGGCTAATTACTAAGAAGCACGTACGTGCGAAACCTGCCCGTTTCATGCGAATGTTTTCTTCTGTGGTTTGGAAATATGGTATGGCGGGGACCTTACTTGATTCACATATACTTCTGGTATGATTTTTGAGAGTCCCTTTTGGATTCGTTGCTTCAGGCGCGAAATTGGCGTATGGCATATTCAATACGGTGGGGTGGCAATTACGGTTTGTTTATTCTGATGCGTACATATATCGTTTTCTTGGGAACTGTTTTTGAATTCCATGTAACGTATTCTCCGTTTGATGTTTTTATGCTAGGTTTCTATAAACCATAAAAAAATTGTACGGATCATCGATCCATTGGCTTCGGTTTAAGGCACCGCAAGTTGGTTTTCAGTAACAACAAAGGAGATGATAACATGAAAATTCACACAGCTTCGCCAGATGCTACAGATCTAATTATACAGAAGATACGCACTCGTACCTTTTAAAAAAAAGGGGGTGGGAAGGGGACAAGGAAATAATAAACACCATAAAAAGAGCTCCAGAACAACCCGACAACCCTTTCATTGCCCGGTTTTGCCCCATATATCTACAGAGTGTGTAAAAAGGGGTGAGGAGCACGGGTAGTAAGGACCCGATTCAACTCAAATTTATCCAGTGAACCATCTCCGAAGCCAATCTCCCATGTTGACCTCTTTACCTATCTTCCAGCATGTTTTTAATCGAACTCCAATAAACTGGCAACACGTGCTTCGGAATCTCATCTTTAGCCAGCCACTTGAAGTCCGTAATGCCTTGGGTATTGCCAGTCAGATCTGCCTGACCTGCCATGATTCTTCCTTTCAGGAAGAATATTTTTTCACCGCGGATCTCGATTCCTGCTTCCGGGTTTGGTTTCGGTCTGCGGAGGTTGTACACATGGTGGCCGATGGGATGGTGGCCGACCATCCAGGTGTTCATGTTGGGGCCGGCAGAGTGAAGGAGAGCACGTTCAGCTGCCTACAGTTTTGCGACAATTTTGTGGTTAGCTTGGGATGTTGATTATCATGAGAGCCGGGTGGAATCAATGTGAAAAAATCAGTTGGTTGCCTAAGAAAGACAGGGTTGCCCAAAGCGAAGAATCAAAAAGACAAGGACAAAAGGGAAAGGCAAAAAAGAAACTGGATCAACTGTACCATTCTCAAATTCTCCTTCTCCTCCAGCGTCACAGCGGGAAATCTCCAAAACGTCCGCTCCCCATTCTTCACTTGCACTAATAGATACAGCGTCCGATGCAACAACCGATCCAAACTCCTCTGATCTCCCTTTTTATCCGCCTCCGTAACCCTAGGAAGAGGTCGTGGCACCTCATCTTTCTTACTGTCCCCCTCATCCGAATCAGTATAACTCTCCACATCCTTCAGCAGCGCATTAATCTGGTGTTCCGGCTCAGACTCCACCGACCCAACAAGCAACTCATCATTCCACGCCTCTTTTGAATACGCATTGTATCGCCCGATATCCCTCGAGGGAGTCAGGCGCTCTTTAATCTTGCGCTTCCAGTCGACGTCAGCAGGCGTGTCGCGTTTGAAGTAGAAGTATCGTGTGAAGGGGAGGGCGAGACGGTCATTTAGGCGCCGTTGGTAGAAGTAAAAGGCTTTCTCAAACGAGGTGAGCTCACGGGTGAGACGTGGTGGGCGGGAGAGGACGACTCCGGCTTTAATGTCGTATGTGGGCTTTAAGGCTGGAGGTGTGTTTTGAATGGTTGATGATGTCGACTGAGCTACAGACTCTGCGGCAGTGGCATACCCGCGGCGACTGAGAGTTTCTAGACAGCTTCTGCACGCTGCGGAATCGAATTTTGGTGGCCCTATATCAATTATCAAATTAACATATATGCCCCATAGCTCACGGACCATCCAGATATTGAGGGTAGCAAAACATTCAAGACCACATACTCAGAAGCGTTGCAACACGCCTAGCGCCATTGGTTCCTGCAGACATCCTAGGACGAGCGGTCGCCAATTGCTTCTGTAGGATGTCCAGTCAACGTCCAAGCTGTTGCTGCACTTCAGCATAAAACGTCGATGAGAAACTGAAAAAAGTCACCTTCAAAATGCTATTAGACCGGGTTGCGGGGACTTGGCACGCTAATCTAAATAAAGCTTAGCTGGTCATTTTAGTTACACGTGATATCGCTTGTATCTTCCACCGCAAAATTTTCTCTGTTTGATTCTTCTTTCTATCTTCAAATTGTGGCACAAATCCTTATCATCAATTGCTTCGTTTTACGCATCTACAGCTATTTGATCATTTAGCCGTGCCTAGAAGGAAGACTTTTGTCATTGCGGTCAATTTTCGCTAGCGGTACCTTCGTTTTCTAAGGTGTACTGTTAGATAGCTACTGCAAACAGTGATGCTAACGTCAACGGTTGTATTTCAGCCCAGTTCTTCCATCCCCGTCCCTAATAGTATTTCCATTATGAATACAAAAACATTGCTTGTTGTTAATTTTTTATTTCTCGGTTTAAATGCGATCTAAGGATCGGTTTCTTCCATCAAATGCTGTGAATAATTGCAGTTTTCTTCATATCGATGTTCCTCTTCCTCTCTCAATTGAGGTGGTCCGTTCAAGTCACACATTTCCTCTGAAGACCCGGAGTTTGTTCCTGTAAACCTTCTAGAACTCTTCTGAGAATGTAGGGGTGAGCCCTGCTGTTTTTCTGTTCTGCTGCATGAAGGCTTTTTCCTGGGTTTTTCGGAACTGCGAATTTGGATCCAAAATAGGTGGCGGACTTCAAGCAACAATGTTTATTCAGTCAGCAAGTGAGTCTGATGTCAATTGGAGTAGAAAAGAGTGAATGTATTCGGGAAACTTCCGATTCTGTGTCCCAATTCACTGGTGCCTGTCTTGGAACCGGTTTTTCGCTAAATGTCCTTCCTGTCGCCTTGCTAAAATTTGACATACGTGAGGTCGAAGATGAGATTTATCTGGGAATAGCTGGGGCCCGATCCATCTGTGTTTATGAGTTTATCAACTTTATTTTCAGCCTGGTTTCGCTTATTTAGGACGGTCTTGAACTGTGTCCTCGACAGACCGCTAGCACATTTGAGTGAGCCATGCATACATCCTCCTCCGCAGGGTTGGAAGTTGGCCATTCTCCTTGTAACTTTGCAGAAAATCAGATCAAGGTCCCTGCCGTAAGCAGGCTGTTGTAGCCTGCTTCCTGAAGCGGTTTATCAGTTAGATATTGGAATGCTCTGGGTCAACGCCTAGAAAACTGTTAGCTTCGTTGGCCTTCTAAGGATTCGGTGCTCAGGTTATTGCTTTTGATGTGCGCGATTGTTGCCATCCTATGCTCCGTCTTTACCAGTTTCGCTGTCGTCTCTGCCTCCTCGAGACGCAAATTGCGGTCCTCCCTCCATAAACGCTTCCCATCCTGAATCCACTCTTTATTAAGAACTCGATCGTTTTGTTCTTCGGTAAAGCGACATTTGGTTGAACAATATATTGTCATAGATGACCTGGGGAAACAAACCACTGCTTTTGATATGATCATCGCCCTTTCACACCCAATTTCGAATCAAGCACAGGGTTTAGGTGGAGGTTGTACGGTCTCAATACATAGGCCCCTATATTACATTTAGCATCGAATCATCAAGCATTGGACACTCCCAACGTCCTAACCAGTCTCATTGTCCTCCTTCACAAGAGTCAAACCAATTTGCAGCACTTGATATGCATTGGCAGCATCTTTCACCTCCTCATATCTTGCCTGAAGAGTCTATTTCCCTTCCCAAACGCCCTTTGCAGTGCTACGTCCTAGTTGTCTAGTGGCGATGCGCAATGGAAGTGCATTTGGCTATGTCACTGAGGAGTGGTGGTAGAGGGTGCTTAAAAGATTGCCATGTCACATCCATATTGAACAGACAAGCGTAAAATAGAAAATGAAAAAACAGAAAGAGAATGTTTAAATCAAGGCAGAGTTGAGCTCCCTAAAACATACAAGCGTGAAAACCAGGACAGATGAAACAGAAAATGGATGATATATTTATCCTGATATCACAATAGAGAACAATAACCTGAGAGTGTGAGCAGAGTGTGAGCTCAGATTGCTATAGCATCAGGATTGTAAACAATACAAACAACACCACAAAATGATATGCTCTCTGTCTCATTAGAAAAGTCTCATCCACGTCTAATACAACAGTAAGTGCGAGAAGTAAACACCTAAAGATTGCGTGAATTTTCATTATAAGTGAGTGTATAAAGGCAGAGTGAACCTCGGCAGTCAGTAAGCAAAACACACACCGCCTTCCAAGCCCGAGAAGGTGGAAGGTCCCGTGATCTGAATTTGGCCGAGGGATAGGATAGATAGACTGCAGGCCAAAACTACGGCAAGGGAAGCTTGGTCAATCCGAGCGGACTACAACTAAAACCGTGATAATCTAAGTCTACCGGATTCCCTTCACTCCTCTTCCACCTCTTTGCTTCACCTGCTTTATTGTTGTTGTTCTAGTATTTTAATATCAGAAATTATTTGAAGCCAACGCATTATGTCAGGAAACGGCTTCTCCAGGCCCTCAAAGCCGCCACGCCTCTCGTCCTCCTCATCTCTGTCATTCTCATCCTCCAAGCAAATATCGCAGGCTTACAAACAGTCCTCACAATTATTTCTCACACGACGATTACAAGAGTCGCTCTTTGTTATTGAACCCATTATCACTCCCTCCTTATCGCAAGATGGGCAGCAGGATGGCCCAGCTCCAATTGCCACAGCTTCAAACAATCTGCGCAAAAAGGTCTGGAACCTCTACATTTCAACTCTCAATGCCATTGTTGAGCTTGGCCCCGAAGAGGGCCGAAAGCAATTTGGACAAAAGGAATGGAAAGCTCTTGCTTCAAAAGTTCGCGATGGTTCGCTCTGGGACATCATCTCCCGGGTCGGATATGGCGGCAGAGACGGCTCCATAGATGCTGACGTCGTTTACAACATGTAAGTTTCAATAAACAAGGTGGTAATATTCTAAGGACATCGGCGATGCTAATGTGGGACTTCCGTGTAGTGCTACTCTTATTCTCAACCATTCCCCCTCTCAAAAGCTCAATCAGCAGTGCCTTGAAAACTACCTGTCCTCCTACGGTCAACCCGACTTGGACATTGAAACCCACATAGAGAATTCACCCCCTGGGAAGAAAAAGCAAAGAGCATCTCGTGCAAACGGGACAGATACACCAAAAGACCTAACAGCACGGGTTCGCATATTAGAGCTCTTCACCCTCCACGTTCTTCCTCAAAACGATGAATGGGACTATGCTAAAGAATTCATCAGCCTGAGTGAAGTTCTTGATGACGAAAGGAAGGAAGCCTTCCTCCAAACACTAGAAAATCTACGAGAGGAAAAAGAACAAGGCCTGCTACGCTCTGCAGAGCTACAGCGGGAAAAGGAAGCGGAATTAGAACGCCAGCGACAGGAGGAACAGGGACGGTTAGCTGCAGAGCAAAAAGCGGCAGCGGAGAAATCACTTGCGTCAAAACTAGGAAACAGTCATCAAAGAACGAGCAGCGAAGTCGACTATGGAATCGATAACGGAGTTCCCAACGTCGGTTCGTCCAGCAAAAATCGAATTCTGAAACCTGCAACAAAAGTTGGGAGGGCGTCAGCATCAGCATCATCATCATCATCAGCAGCAGCAGCAGCAGGCCGGTCTGCAGCTGAATCGTCTAAGCAAGTCAAGAAGACTGGCAAGTCAAAGCCGGTCATCAGGCAGATGCGTATGCTTGCCAATATGCTCGTCGCCCTCGTCAAGTACATCGGTCGATCCAAATCTGCTAGCTCGATGTCATTTTTGCGTACGCTTCTTATTGTCTTCGGCGCTCTCTTGGCCCTCAGTCGCGCTAATGTACGTGCTCGGCTGCGCAGAGTCACCGACTCTGGATGGCAGAAGATTCGCGGCACTGTGGGTATGGGCGTTAAGGTCAGTTATATATGATAAGGATGATTGGGGACCTCTTGCGGTAATAGATCACTATTCCTGGTCACCCCCCCCCCCCTTTTTTTTTTTTTCTTCTTGTGTATTTACTTCTGCCCTATAATCGCTTCTTGCTGCTTAATTTTTTAATATACGGAAGGGGGATGTCTATTATCATGATAGGAACAATTCCATACATATAACTCTGGAATGATAGTTAATCAGATAAGCATAGTGGCGTATGCGTTTTTTACATGCCTTTTCTAGAGTATATTTCAACTCATTCCTCACAGCTGATAGCTGATTGAGTAGAAGTTTCAAGACATCTATCCAGGGAATCAATTTCCACACTACTCTAGGTCATAAGCCATCCACAAATACGGTTTCCATCTCGCGAAGCCATGAAGTCATAAATTCAATATTCCTCCGCTAGTGTATGCACGACAGTGTTTCTGAAAAAAGAACAAAAAAAGAACAAAAAAAAAAAAAAAAAGGAGAACCCCCTAAATAGTGTGGCCAACCAATTTCACTAAAGCTACCCAATTTCCTTCAATTGCTCTTCGCCACGCTCAGCATCAGCATTAACCCCATTCCGCTCTCCACGTATTATCCCACTAGTCTCACTCCCGGTTTTCAAGTTTGGACTCACGCGCTCCAGGTCGCAACCAGCTAGCGCCTCACCCCTCTCCTTTTCTTTCCACTCAGCCTCCCTTTTCTTCCCCCACCACTTAAAAATCCGCACCATGAAATGGGCACAGAATACTTGCTCCGTCGTATATAGGATGACCGGCACGGTTAACTTGGCAACAAGGAGCAGATCTACCGTAGGGTACATGGCATAGACCATAGGGATGCCAAGACTGGTGGTCTTTGCTGGGCCGCAGAAGCAGATAGCGATGGTTTCAACTGGAGGGCTTTGGTTAATGAGGCAGGCGAGGAGTGCATGTGGGAGGGATTTTAGCTTTGCTGTTGTTGACGTTGTTGTCGCTAGCATGGCGGTGCTTGGGCGTTTCTGACGGGGTACGAGAGCGGAGGGCGGATGTGCGATTAGGAAACTGATGCCTGTGAGAGTGATGTAAAAGCTTACGTTCAGCAGCATGATGAAAATGAGCGTTTGGCTACTGAGTGATTTGAGGGCGCCGGTTGAGAAGCAGGTTGAGAAACTAGCCCTACATATTGCAGAGGGGGTTGAAAAGGTCAGTCAAGTGGAGTGACCAATCTGGAGGGAGGGTTTACACGAGCATGTATGCTCAATCTCCCCGGAAAAGCTGTCCCGTCTACAGCGCGTTCGAATAAAGGGAATGACCCCAACTCACCAAATCACCAAAATCAAACATACGGTACTCAGCTTTGCCAGATGGAGCTTCTGCATCGCCCATACAGTTTTCTCTGCCCACAGCCATCGAACCGCCTGCCCCACAACCAGAGGTAGGAACACACTCAGTCCTAACCTTTTAAACACGCTCTCATACATACCCTTCAAGTCCTTATTTGACTCCTGCCAAACTTCAAAGGCCGTCGTCCTGGGCATCAATGTCACGGCCCAACCAGGCGTGATAAAGGGGCCCAAGACATTCGCCAAAAACACCTCAAGCAACGCAGCCGCCTCATCGCCGCCTGCAGCTCGAGTCATCACCACATTCGACGCAATCGTCGTCGGCAGGCAAGACAGCACGATATACCCTGCCAAAACGGCCCTGTCGATCTTTCCGGCGTGGTCCGTGACATCGATCAGGCGCACCAGTCCGCACATGATGGCCGGAATCATCAGAAATGAAACGGCCTGTGTTTTCACGTGCAGGCGGTAATTCAGGACGTGTTTGAGCAGTTTGTCCTTGGCAATGGAAAGGCCGCTCATCAGGAAGATGAAGGCGACGGCGCCGTAGAGGATAGAATACTCAGCCTTGATGATGCCACCGTGCTTTGCGACCTCGGGAAAAAGGTAGGCGAGCAGACATGCCAGGCCAAAGCCAATGATGAGCCATTGGTGAAGAATGAATTTGGCAATGTGTGTTGGCAGGGAAGACCTTTTTGCTTCCTGCTGTACCGGGGCGGCAGAGATAGATCGGGATGCCATAATGGAGACCTGTGTCTGTTTCCTCTGCTCTGCCATGGCGCCGGCTAGATAAATACTTCCCTATATATCAACAGGCGTGTATGGTGTGCTTTTGTATTCCCTTCTCCTTTATATGGACTCGTGGAATCATGTCCTGGCTATATGCCGAGCCGTGTAGTTTGCATTGACGAATCCCAGCACCGTTGTCGTAAATTCTTCAACGAGACCCCTCATATGTATCTCCTAGCCGTGAAATAACTATCGGTTGCACCGATGATATTGCCGCATCAACTCCCTGCTCCGCACAAAGATTGCCGATGTAGAAACAGTGTAGGGTTTTGTATAGAAAAATACACACACCCAACACCCACACCCGAGGGTAGGGACTCCCTCCGTTTCTGGACAACTCGGACAAAGGAAAGCAAGAAAAAGGAAAGATGAAAATGTACAGGACGGGTCAGTCATGCATTCGGCTGCGGATATCACTTTGGCAGCCTGGAGAATCTAAGCAACGGTTGAGGGTAAGTTGCAGCTCAGATGCGACTAGTTGGCATGATGTGGAGAATTTACAGGACTTCTCTTCCCCCCCCCCCACCCTCCGCCCCCAAAAATATGATTTCCTCATGATGTCAATTGGTTTTCGACGAGGGGAGAGTCTTCTTCGATATAACGTAATCCACCCAACATAGTTAACTAGTTATTCACTAACGGATACTATCTTGCTTGAGATGTAGCAAGTGCTGTTCAATCATGACAGTATATGTATGACGGCTGCAAATGGAATATTTATTTATTTTATTTTCCCATGGCAGCAGTATATAATCTGAAGCTGCTTGTGACTTGTCATGAAGTGCCAGTTGAACCACACATTCAATGACCATGTTCCATTACTGAGATGTCACGAAAAATTCGAGTATTTAAATTAGTGTAAGAGTGTTAAATATCTTATCTCTTGCCCTGTGATGTCGTGGAGGTTGAGATACAAATCCACTGCAGTGCAACGGCAGGTGTGCAGATACCAGGATGTGCACCGGTGTAGATCCCGTTGTCCTCCATTCTGCTATTTGTCGATATTTCAGACAACAGACATCCGTAGCCAATCAATGAGTCTCCAAAAGGGAAAGAAAGAAAGAAAGAAAGAAAGAAAGAAAGAAAGAAAAATAAAAATAAAAATAAAAATAAAAAAGAAAGGAAAAGGAAAGGAATAGATCATCCTATCGTAGATCGAGTCCGGGCAATGCAAGACTTTTTATGTTTTGAGATACCAACCTGCATACAATAATATTCTTTTATTCTCATTCTCCAACTAGTATTCCTCTGTGTTTGTGTCCCATTTTACGCGATGACTTCAATTAACTACAAACTTTCAGTGGCCGTATTTAAGAGTTATCCATCAACTGCCTCGACCTGCTGAAGCAGGATGCAAACTTGTTGACGCACTGGTAGCTTCTCAAATACAAGAATCAACCATGGCTTTAACTCAGGTACGAATCCATCCACGATAGCTTCACCATTTGAACCCCTCCCAGTATACAGTCGTCGTCGTCGTCGTCGTCGTCGTCGTTGTTCTCTACATCTGGACCATATGGTGCGTGCAAGAAGTTTCCGGCTTTAAATCGGACCTTACCTCGGCCTCGTCGTTGGGTTCCAGAGGAGTCGAACCCCCGCCAAGAGGATTAGTTGGTAATTGCACTCGGCAGAATCCTTCTACCAGACACTCCCCGCAGGCCCGAGATTACCCGTAACCCCCCTTCCCTCCGTGCCCCGCCGATCGACAGTTTCACCCCGCGTAACCTAACCCAAAACCCTCACACCGCCCGCACTAAGCTGGATCGGGGAGTCAGGGCAACAGTCCTCTGTTGCCGCTCGCCTTAATATGCGGGCACAATTGATATTTATTTATTGGGATGGCAGGAGTTTATTTGGTGGATAGTATCGACGGGGTCACGTAGACAGTTGAGTGAGTGTGACTGACTGACTGCTGACTGACTGACTGCTGACTGACTGACTGACTGACTGACTGACTGACTGACTGACTGACTGACGGGGGCGGAGTTGCGCAGGTTTCGTGGACCTCCGGACTTGCGGCTTCGGTGGCTCTCGCCGTCCGAAGTCGCCTTAACTCATTTCCCATAGATATATATATGTAACTTAGCTGGGATCGCATTCATTAGTTACGCTGCGGATCCCACAAATTCTATTTGGCTCTGTCGAAAGGTCATGTTTTCCTTGGTTCAAGAGTATTTCCCTGCTTTGCTGCCTGTTCGTTTCTTGGCTTTGTGAACTAGTTAGGGTGTTAAATATCTATGGTAACGCCGCCGTTGGTTTGACAGTCCATTCCGTCGGCTCACATTGGGAAACTCGGCACAGCGAAATAATCCCGCTCCGCTCATTCATTGCGGGCGGTTTGTCCCTATGCAGGTAATATTTTATTCTGCATTCAACCGAAGAAAGGTTATTGAGCTCACTGACAGCCCCACTTTTCTGCAATCCCTTAGCTCCCGGTACCAACTTGTGCCGTATCTTCCTTTCGATTCTTTTTTTTTTTTCTTTTTTTTTTTTTTTCTTTTTTAATTTTTAATTTATATTTTTTATTTTATATTTCATAATTTCATAATTTCATAATTTTATAATTTTATAATTTTTCTTGTAGGAATAGAATAGTCCATTGTGTCTTTTCAATCTCCCTCGGCTTTTCTAGCAGGATATTTAATATTTTTGACTAATCTGCCTTCTCCCTCGCTGCTCTCGTCCTTTGTCGATTGCTTGCATTCCTTTTCTCTTTTATATTTTTCAAATTTCGTGCTCATTGTACCCCGTGCTGCAGTCGATCGCATTGCTTGCTTAAACATAAATATTGGACACTCAATTCCTTGACGATCAGCATAACCGGGGGCTTTGAAAACCGCCTAGTCATTTCTCTGTCACCTCTCCACTCTTTCCCTCCCCTCTCCGCTCATTCACACTTCACACACGTAAAATGTCTGCAAAGAACGTAAATTCCAATGGGAAGAAGCCTGCTACGGCGGCTACCAACTTGATTGGTTAGTTTTTGACAACATCCCCCCAGATCCAATCCAAAGCTCTGTTCAGGCGCAATCATTAACGAACTGAGTATTTTATAGCTGGTGGAACTGCTGGGATGATGGAGGCACTTGTGTGCCATCCGCTAGGTATGCATATTCCCGCTTCTTCGGCGAACGTCAACACCATCCGTGAGACAAGGAAATTGAATTGATATCAACGTTGGTTCAGATACCGTGAAGGTCCGAATGCAGCTCTCGAAAAGAGCACGCGCACCCGGGGTAAGACACCATATGCCTCATTCGGGGTGGAACCTCTGCGATAAAAAAAAAAAAAAAAAAAAAAAAAAAAAAAAAAAAAGAGAGAGAGAGAGAGAGAGTATTAATGGATGTGGTTGTAGGTAAAACCCCGAGGCTTCATTGCAACTGGGCGAGAGATTGTGCGAAGAGAGACCGTTCTCGGTTTATACAAGGGTCTTGGCGCCGTTTTGAGCGGAATAGTGCCGAAGATGGCCATCCGGTTCACGTCTTACGGGTGGTACAAACAGGCGCTTTGCAACAAGGAGACCGGGCAGCTTTCCGGCTCGGCCAACATGCTTGGTATGTTTCGGTTCGGCCTAGTCAATATTGCATAACGTCCTCTTCATTCCCAAATCGACACCACTGACAGTTCTTCTCTTTTAGCCGGTCTGGGTGCTGGTGTCACGGAAGCCGTCGCAGTGGTTACCCCCATGGAGGTCATCAAGATTCGCCTCCAAGCCCAGCAGCACAGCCTGGCTGATCCCCTCGATACTCCCAAATATCGGAGCGCGCCACACGCTCTTCTCACGGTGCTCAAGGAAGAAGGATTCGGCGCTCTTTACCGCGGCGTTTCCCTCACTGCCCTCCGACAGGGTACCAACCAAGCTGCCAACTTCACCGCATACTCGGAACTCAAGGCTCTTCTTCAAAAATGGCAACCCGAATATGCCACGAAGGAGCTTCCCAGCTACCAGACAATGCTTATTGGATTGATTTCCGGAGCCATGGGTCCCTTCTCGAACGCGCCTATCGATACCATCAAGACCCGTCTGCAGAGGACCCCTGCCGAACCGGGCCAAACGGCTATTTCGCGCATCACGGCCATTTCGAGCGAAATGTTCAAACAGGAGGGCGCCAAGGCCTTTTATAAGGGTATCACGCCTCGTGTCATGCGTGTCGCCCCCGGCCAGGCCGTTACGTTTACCGTCTATGAATTCATTAAGGAGCGCCTGGAGCGGACAAACTGGGCGATCATGGGTGGTGACCAGTATAGCGAATAAAAGGCTGGGCTCCTTGCGCGAGTTAACTGTCCTGGGATTGTGAATAGAATCTCACGCTAGGCCAATGCCGGGAGAGTGTAACATGGCTGTTCCAGGTTTGATATGCAGCTCTACCAAAACGTGCGGAGATTGAACTGTGCTTCTTTCCCAGTTATGTATGGAAGTAGCTATATTATACCCTGCCTGTCGTTTGCTTCGAGGTTTTCCTGGGTGAGGTTTTCCCTTTCATTTTTCCGGTTTCCCCAGCACCCTTTGCATACCTGTATATCCGATTTACTGTTGTACATATTAGCGCGATTGCTTTTCCGTCTTCGTTTAGATCTATGTATATTGTCTAATTTTTTTTTTTTTTTTTTTAATCTTTTTTCAGTGTGGAGCAAGGCGCATGTTTCTTCTTGTGTATCAATAGATATTGGTATTGTGCATTTAGCGCATATGAATATGGTTGCAAAGAAACAAGTTGGCATCGTGATTTCTACACCGCCCTGGTCCAAGCTAGGCAATGATTTCAATGTTTTTGACGGTAGAATTCTCCAGAGACTGGGCCGCTATGGCAGACATATACATGATGACATCCGGACTATATCCTATACTGTACAATCTCAAAAAACAGAAGCAAAATAGCCATTAGAAATAACACAGAGGGCCGTTTCGCATCTGAGATACAAAAGAGGGTTGGATTGAAACTTCAAGTGATAAAAGGATGAGATGGTGTTGAAGAAATGATGAGAGGTTAGTCAAAGGTGGGTAACTAACAACTTACACCTGTTTCTTGTCCTATTCAACTGACTACAACAAACATATCCCTCTGGAAGACATTAACAATAGAAAACTCCAGTACACTGAAAGGAATTTGCAAATCATGCAGTCTGGAATATCAGGTACAATACTCCCTTTAAGCTTCATCACTCTGCCTCTTTTTTTGTTCTGTGCAGAAGCAAACAGATTTTGTCTAACAAACCCACCCACCCTCTTCCAGCCTCCGCCGAATTGCACGACGCCTTCAACTCCTTCACGTTGACTCCCTCCCACTTCTGTCTCCCCGTCATAATATCCAACGAGAGTCTCGTCCCCCTTGAGCCGATTCCCTTCCCCACTTCCTCCTCTGATAATGCTTCCCAATTTTTCAGCTCCTTGCCCCTCCTAGCCCTGCACGTCCAACCCAAAACCCCGATCTACCTCATCTTCCGCCGCACCTCAGGTTCCAGCACCCTCATAGCCGCCACATACATCCCTTCAGCGTCGCCGGTTCGTGCAAAAACACTGTATGCCAGCTCGCGCGCAACACTTACCCGAGAGCTTGGAAGCGAGAAATTCGTCGACTCCATCTTCGCGACGGATGCAGAGGAGATTCTCGACGAGGCATCTTGGAAGGAGAGAGATGCGGATAGAAATGCAGCTATTGGTGGCATCGACGAAGATGGCAAGGCGGAGGCGAGGAGGAATCGTTTGATGGGGAGGGAGGAGAGGGAGTTGGACGAAGTTAGGAAACTGGAGGAGCAAGAGAGGAGCATGGGCGCTAGAAGGAGGGATGTGGGGATCGGAGGCACGATTGGACGTGAGAATGGGAATGGCGAACTGCGCATCAATGTTGGTGAGGGCGTGAAAGAGGCATTGCAGCGGGAACGGGCAAGTGGTACTGTTATTCGGCTGGTAAGTTGCTTTTCCTCCCCCCCTTTGTGCCTCTTTGTTTTGCTTTCTATTTGGTTGGTTTAATTGGCTATGAGAGGTCCATCTTTCCGTGGGATCGAGACTCTGGGGCCTCGAAATATATTCTATTATACCAACTAAGATATGCAGACTATCGATGTGCCAACTGAAACTCTCACTCTGATATCCGCTGAGTCGAATGTCGAGCCTGCCCTCCTTGCAAGCTTCATCTCAAGCTCAAAAGCGCAATACACGTTTTATAACCATCCTAACCCCGATGCTGTGATCTTCATATACACCTGTCCCTCCGGCTCACAAATCAAAGAGCGCCTTCTGCATGCCAGCTCCCGGAACGATGTCGTTAGGCTTGCTGGTCTGCAGGGCGTGGATGTTGCTCATAAGGTCTGTATAATTCTTCTCCTTCCTCTTGAATCTATGCACTTGTGAATGAAGGCCATTGTTTTCATGTGCAATGACTGACTGACTGTTAAAATTTTAGATTGAGGCATCCGAACCCGAGGAGATCACACTTGCGAGTCTTTCTGAACTCGTGAATCCACGAAAGGACACGGGGCCCAAAGCTTTTGCAAGACCAAGGAGACCTGGACGGTGAATAGTTAACAATCTTTCAGCCGCCTGGCTTTCCCTTCCGCTAAAGACTAGTTCTAGGCTGGCTCGTTGTACCAGATCCAACTCAAGAATATTTCCGTTCATTGCTCCTTAGAATCCTTTTATATACCGTAGCCATTCATGCTCCGTCTAAAAATCCAACACCCTTTTTTTTTTTGGTTATTATAAACCCCATAGCCTGAACGTCCACCATATAATTTCCAGACCCCATAAATACTCCTAATCTGTAAAACCAAGAAACATGCAACCGGTCGTAAATCGGAAATATCACCGTTGTATCAACCCACAACACCCCTCTCTTCTATTCCCATCATGACACCCCGGCCCGATGCTGTTTCCTCTGGAAGAACAAATCCGTCCTCGAGCTACCCAGATTAATAATTTTCGGGCATCCATCGCGATCCTTCTCCAGACGCGTACACTCGAAGCAATAAAAGGCGTCGCTGATCCCTTCGCCTCCGCACACAATGCATTTATTCTGGTAGTTGCCGAACGAGCACTCATCGCAGATACGCACAAGCGTTGTGGGCCGCACGTAGGAATCGCAGACGGGACATTTACCGTCGCATTTGTCACAGAGACGGCCGATGGCGATGCCGGTTTGTTTGCGACACATTACGAGATCGGGGTGGTGGCGGGACATGATGACGGTTGTGGTAGTGGTTGTGGTTGTGGGTAGGTTGGGATGTAAAAAAAAGAGCGATTCTTCGGCCAGAGGAAATAGAGTATGGCTAGTGGGCTATGTTTCAAAGCATTATCTGTCTTTGCTCGTCCCTTTGCGCAGGTTTGAAGGTCATAAGATGGTTTGATTTGGTTGTTGGCAGTTGCAGTTGAGGTGCTGAAAATCCCCGTTGTATATGGTCGAAGGTAGGTTAGTTATAATGCACTCCACTAGGATGAGTTTAGAAGAATAGTAGGTATCCGCAAAGGCAGAACTCGAAAGCTGTAGAGGCAATGGGGTCTGATGGTATGGGGAATTTATCTATTGGATGTTCAGTGGAAATTCCCAAAGTTCCGTGGTTGAATTTGTCATCTGGCAAAACTAACAGATTCTGCGCTAGGCCCCATTGGTCTCACCCGCATTGCATCGCTGGAAGCTCTGAAGTTATCTTTTTTTCAGGATCGCACATATTATCATCAAACATCTGACCGTCACTTCTAGTTACAGCAGATGAAATCTCCGTTATCTTATTCCATACTCGTGCAAGTGTGGTTATCTTCTTACCCGTATCCATCTCATCGTTAGATTTCATATATCGTTCCATGGCGGACGGGTAAAGTGCCCCTCAAGTTTTATCTACACTGTCCACGAACTTCAATGCCGGGGAGCTAACATGAAATATATTAATCCAGAACAATTTCATCAGCCGTTGCGCTTCCTGAGCCGGAAGAAAGGCCGGATGACAGATTAAAGCGTCTCCAGTCCCTATCTGAAGACAATGAGAACAAACGGCGCCGGCTGGGTGATGAGACCCGACTTCCCGACTCCAAGGAAAACGAACCGTCTCCGTCCGCGGTTACTGCACCTAAGCCCGTCGGGAACACCGCGGATGGAAGGGATTACCGGCGAAAGAGTGGCGCGGCAGAAGAACGCAAGCGTGGTCAAAGATTATTTGGCGCCCTGCTGGGTACACTCTCACAGAGCTCATCTACAGCAGCACAGAAACGACGGGCGGATATCGAGCAAAAGCAGCTGGCAAAGCTCCGTATGCAGGAGGCAGAGTACACGGAACTGACGCGAAAGAAACAAGAGGACTTATTGGCGGTGCGGAGGAAGGAACAGAGGATTTATGAGAGACAGTCGGTGCGTGATGGCCATATATCTCAAGGCCCCTTATGATTATGGGTCGAGTTTATATATCTATAGCCATATTGACGGTATTCATTTGGGTTTTAGATGCGTGTCCGACACTCGAACCAGCTAGCTGTGGCACATTTCCTCAAAACAACAGCTGAACCTTTCCTGGTATGTATCAAGACTGTTGAGCTAGCTCCATTCCTATACTGTAAATGTTTCTGCTAAACTTCAACGGTTTTTAGTACTACAAACCATGGCAACTCCGACCGGAGGAAGAAGATAGAATTAAACAACAAATTGACGATTGTAAAGCTACAATCGCAAAAGAGGTCGAGGAATTTGAAGCGAAAAATCCACCATCGCCTCGTCCTACCCCACACCAACCTGACACTCTATTTGCTGCTGCAGGTGAAACACGCACAACCGTTGCCCCAAGAAATAATAATATTATATCTGATGATAAGGAGCCAAAGGACGCAGTGCAATTGAAATCCGATACGGTGGGTGATGACACTAACAATAATAACAACCGCACTGAAGCTGAATCCGAACCCCAAATATGCTCCCCTGCTGCTCCTGCTACTACTAATGAACCCTCTACGTCTTTTACTACTAAAAGCCACAACGACAACCCATCCGCAACTAGCGTTAACCACCACCAAAAAGCACACGATGATGATTCTGGAGAAGTCATGCTCGAAGATAAGGAGGATACTGTCATATATTAAAGCAAGTTTTCTTTGTACCTATCTCTTAATAGTCCCACTTCTTCCCAGACATGTTTATATCTTTTTTCGGCCTTCCCCCTCATTCACACTTTCAGGGAACTTGTTTTACCGGCGCCCGGAGTCACCATCTTCGACTAACTAACTCTATTCTTTCTCTTCTGTTGTGTCCTTTTGCTCTTGTTCTCATCCGATTACCCGTCCACCTTTTTGGATTTCATTTCCTTCAACACGCAGAGCACCACTTTTGCATTTCCTACCCAACCCTTCAAGATTATGCATTTCCTATTATATCCATACGTTAGTGAAGATGGCATTAGTTACGGGTGGTTCACCAGAGAAAGCTTTGAGGTGGATGATGTGGTATCAAATTTTCTAGCGACGGAATGGAGTCATGGGCAATAATTCCGATTGCCAATGTGGTTTTCCTTTGGCCCCTTGGGGCAGAGAATGAGATCTTCCGTGAATGATTTATTACTGCTATAATGATACAAATTGAAGCACTTATGAATATTTCAAACGCAGTATCTTACTCATTGTTTTCTTCCGTTCGTCTGACTTTGAGTATAAGGAGCCATATTCTCTTCACCCATAGATCGGGGGTCTCAAAAGAGTTATGGTATCTAACCTCAAAGCTTTATATCATTTTTTTAATCACTATTAGAATGCCTTATGTAAGTGAGAAATTTTGAGGTTGGGTGCTCCATTGAAGAAGTAAAATGCCACCAACTAGATGAACCAGTCATCATAATCAAAAACTCACGCCCATTGATTGATTATTTAATACTCAGTGTGTACTCCTATAATCCAATCCTCTACGTTGAAAAACCATGTTGTCCTTCTCTTAATTTATGACTTAAGTCAGATTTTATTGATTTCGTCAAGGGGAGGGATGATGTGTCAGGGTGTTTAGGCGGGGCAGGATGTCAGATTTTAGTTAAAGTTAAATTAAGCTTAATTTAACTTCAAACCATAGCGTTTCCCCCATTTGATAAACGTCAACTTTCCTAGGACTAACCAAGGTCTGAATCGGATGATTGCATCGAAAAAGCGACATGCTTCTTGCTTTCTCAATTTGACCTTTCTGCCAAAAAATTGGCTATCTTTAATATCCTCCTCCAGTATCAATGAACAGATAACCATCTATTGCCGTCCCCCTGATACCCAAGCAACGACCTCCATATTGTTCAAATGTGATAGATTGGGTAAATTACTATACGGCTGTTACCTTCGGTTTCAACTGCCCTACTACCATTGTCTAGAACCGGCCATTCGGGTGGTATGTGTCTCTGACACGCATAACTCTACCCCGAAGGTTCCCAATGGCGACCTTCTCATTCACGCTACTTAACCCAACACAGGGACACATGCTGAACTGCAGGTGCAACTAAACTGGCTCACCTCCCTACCACATATATACAAAGTAGTTGTTGCAGGCAACCATGATGTCATGCTTGATACGGATTTCGTGCTGTGTTCTCCTTCCGTCCTCAGCCCGATCACTCCAAATCGTCACTTGTTGACTCGTTGAATTTGGGTGACATCATTTACCTCCAGGACCGATCTATTACATTATCCTTTCTCAAACAGGAAGTTGAAGATTGATGGCTTCCCTCTCACGCCAGAATTTTGGTGTCTGGGCTCTTCAGCATACAGCTATCAGGGACGTTGGACTCATCGGATCCCCTACGATGCCGATGTGGTGATGCTTCATGTGCCGCTTGTACTTATATCTCGACATCGAAAGAAAATGCGACGGGTATTTGTGAAGAGAGCTAAGAAGGGCCAAGCGCGCAACTTGCAGTTTTCGGTCATGTCCGTAATGGATATGAGAGGATATGCTGCTACACGATGGTGTGCAAAGAACACAAGATGAAAACCTTGGGAGAAGTGGACCGTATGGGATATTTCAAATGAGCGTTTTGGATCATTGTGGCATGCCTCCCAGTCTTGTTAGGTCTCCCTCGACTTCCCGATTCAAGATTGGTCAATGCAGTAGTTGTCCCGGGAGAAAAGGATAAAATAATAAGAAGACACCAATCGTTTTGCAGATATAGTGTCCTCTATGCCCACCATATACGGATCTGTAAGTGACAGGCCCTCTTCTATTGTGAAAGCAAAACTGCAGTGGCGGAGTGTTTAGGCATATGGTTTTCTTGCGTATTTCCTGTCGCGGGATACTTGTGATTTCAAAAATCACCTCCGATGGTAAATTAATGCCAATTATAACAGAACTTGAAACAACAGCCACAAAAACACAGTGGATATCGGCCTAGTTCGGAACGTCATAATACGCATTCCATATATACCCATGTGGATATCGAGTTTAAATGAAATGATATGCAGCTGCCAACATAGAATATTTTTTTCTTGTTACTTCTTAATCGCCCCTCCATCCTCAAATAAACTGAGTGTCTCCCCATCCTCATGAGGTATCTTCAGCACTTCGTTCAGGGGCTCAACCTTAGAGAGAAAGCTCAGAATCTTATTCTTTCATCTGCTGAGCCTGTTGAAGAGCTCATTATTCAGCCCCTTACACCTTCATCAACAGAAGCTAGATCACATGTCTGAGCATCACAGAGATGCAACAATTGCGATATGCTCAGACATATATAAGAACAAGATGCCCTCATCCTAGTGTCATTTATTTAATTTAGTCAGTGGTTGTTAAGTATAGAGATTTCAAGCTAAATAGATTTCTCTATGTGATTCTTATTCCAGTGGCTCACTCGGCGGGGAATTACGTGGAGTAATTGAATACGGGGGTGATTGACAACTGATTGTGGAAAGTGAAGCCAATGTTAGCATATTGTTAAGCAAGCGCCAGAATAGTTAACTAGTTACTTAAACCTCGGCAACTCGACATAGGGTCAATCACATGCCCCCAACCTCCTCCTCCTCCTCTCCTATGAACAGTTGCATATCAATGACAATATATTCTTACAGCCAAATAGCAATTGTCCAACAGATCATTATCAGGAAAATCCCCTGCGGTTCAATTGTCGGAACCGCTAGTTTTAACTTTTGTTTCACTCAGATCCCCAATCATGATTGACAAGATATCCGTCAATGGAGACTCGAGGGTCCGACATTGCACTGCAGTGTTGAATGGGACAACTTACGGTATGTGCAACTATTTCGAAAGTCATACAAATAGCCATCTCCACTCATCCTTCCGGCGGGAATTAAAGGATGTGTGCATTTCAGTGATTTGACATTGAGATGAGCTTCATCTACGCTTTGGCATATTTGCCATGTATATACAGTACATTTTTATTTCTTTATCTGACTCTTAAATAGGGTATCTTCTCAGCCTGCCGGAGGGTGAACAGTACAAATCTACGGTCTTCCTGGTGTGTTCTGGTTCTTCCTAAATGAAAAAACCTGCATTGCAGTTCTCTCCGACTCTCCAATGTTTTTCGAGTCCCGTTGGAGCTAGTATTCGTCATATCACATCTCTTATTTGAGCTCCTTGTTTCATATGACCCTCTACAATGCATCTTGTTTTAGTCTTTTTAGTCTGTCATTCCAACCCGGTGTCGCTTTGCATACCGTTGGAACTTTAAAGTCCAATTGAAACACAAACCAGCATAAAAGAGACATATTCTAATTTTCTCAGATCCATGGCTTTCCCGATCTGTCCATGGGATGGCGGTATCAGATACCTGCCTTGACAAAGATGGGTCTTCGAGTCGTTGCTCCCGACTGCATGGGATATGGAAGAACGGTATTTCTCGGTTTCCTGAAAATTTATCTTCTTGGGGTTACATGAGAGCAATTGTTCAATTGAAACATGCTCAATTTTTGCCGGTCAACTCATAGGATGCACCAGAATTCTCAGAAGAAATGGCCACACGATATGGACTTAAACAGTGTGCAGATGATATGAAAGAGCTTGCACGCCAGCTGGGCTCGTCGCAGATTATTCTGGGAGGGCACGACTGGTATGTCCTCTATATAATTATATCCGCTCCATATTCCAAAGTCATCCCCGGGATGAGTCATGTCTGATTCCAAATGATTCTACATACACAGGACATTTGGCTTCCTCTTGGAAAGTGGTTGAAATACCGTCTTTATGTCTAACACTGATACTAGGGGCGGATTTGCCATTTATCGCATTGCCCTGTACCATCCCGGTTTTGTTACGCACCTGTTTTCCATATGTACTCCTTACAACCCGCCTTCAAGCAACTTCATTCCACTCGAGACGATCGTCAAAACGAAGGTCCCCTATTTTGGGTATCAACTGCAGTTCGTCAGTGGGGATCTGGAGAAGGTGGTCAGGAGCAGAAGTGATATCAGGCAATTTTTGCTGTCGTTGTATGGTGGAAGGACATCGTCTGGCGAGTTTGGATTCGATGTATTTAAAGGAGTCCTGCTGGATAAGTTTCAGCATCTACAAAACTCGAAGGTCATAAGTGAAGAGGTATGCATTCATTCTTCCCCTTTTTCAATGTAGATATCCTCCATCATGCGTGATCGACATCTCTTGAGCGTGCATCTTTTATTACACATGCTGGCATAATGGATTTATTAACATTTTAATGTTAGGAACTAAACTACTATGTTAACGAGTGGGCGAGGCATGGTATACACGGCCCCTGTGAGTCAGTCCTTTTAGGTTTCGTTCACTTCCCCTGAAGTTATTCCACCTAACGGTTCCAACCAGTAAACTGGTACCGCACCCGCGAGCAAAACTACAGGGATGAACTAGGTTTACTAGGCGGCTCACTTGACATCCCTGTCCTCTTCATCCTTGCAACGCAGGACCAGGCCCTCCGCCCCGCTCTGTCTCGTAACATGAGTAAATATCTACCTAACCTCACCACGCAAGAGGTTAAAGCCGGCCATTGGGCACACTGGCAAGCGCCAGGGGAGTGTAATGAGGCCATCAGAAGATGGATGGAAGGTGTCGTTTTCACGGGGAAGAGCAAATTGTAGGACTCTTAGACGGAACTAATAGTTGAAGAAACGGATGTCAATCAAAATGCATGTCTCTCCTTTGAGATCTTTTACTTTCGTTTGCCCATCTCTGTATTTGATTCATATGTGCTTAATATTCCTTTTATGCCGTTTTACAAGCTACGGACCTACCTCACTTTATTGAGAGAATTTTGACATAAGATGAACTACCCTCTCTCGTTGGGTCTTCTGCCCTATTCATTAGCAATCAATAACCAGTCGAACATTGAAATCACATTTAATTAAGAAGACACTACCTATGCAACGTAGTTTTCTCTCAACGACGCCAGTTAAAAAATATATCTATTACTCGTGAATTCATTGGATATTAACTAACTAGGCCTTCGGACTTCGGAGTTCGGAATTCGGAGATATGTTGAGATCATCCGTCAGCAAACTTGAAACTGTATATCTCAGCCCTTGGGACCAAAATACGAAGTAGAATTATAGCCATAAAATAGTAGGAGTTGATGGAAGGTTCTCAGGGACTTTGTAAAAAGTCACCAAAATGATTACATTCATAAGAGTCACGCATCGGTTTCATCTACGCATCTCACGAACAAACAGACGGCAATTTGATAAGTTAACTATTAATATTAGCCCACGAAGACCGCGGCAATGCAGAGTAGAACTATCAGCCGATCGAATACTTAAGGCTGCACATCGGCGGAAAGCAAATAAACCGATATACCAAAGTGTAAATGACCTGAAAATCTAGCAGTCTAAAACCTTCGTCTCAATCGTTATCCCAGCCTTCTCCAAGTGATCAACATACTCCTGCCCCAATATCGCAGGCGTCAAACACCCACCCTCAAACTCGTTTCCAACATTCTTACTCTTTAGCAAAATCATTGCCGACTCCGCAAGCAACACGCCAGTCAACCAATACGGGTCTCCAGGTGCCTTGAACGCCCCAAGAACTTTAATCGGCCTTCCCTCGGGGGTCTTGTGTTCCGCAGTTGCAAGAGCGCGAAACTCAACCCGATTGTCCTGCGTGCTTTGCTTCGACGGGCCCTGGCCCGGTTGATAGATGAGCTTGCGCACCAGCCAGCGCACAGGGGATAATGTAAGGGCCAGCAAGCTAAACATAAATGTGAAATGCAAGGCGACGCCAACCAGGACGTTGTGGACGCCTAGGAGGGATTGGAATTGGAAATAGGGACTGTAGAGGTCCGGCATTAGAGACCTGCTGCGCTGGACGATGGCGACGTCGCAATGGCTTGTAACGGATAAGGTCATTGTGCCCAGTTCAGGGACAGTGCGGACACCAAGAAGTTGTTGGAGGAGAGAGGGTGAAGGGACTGTCTTCGATGGGCTGGTCGATATGTAATATGGACTCTGTGCCTTGAGCAGTTCCTTCAGTGGTACGCTCTCAATTACGCCCAAGAGAGTTGTGAGGGTTCCACCACTAGCTCCTGCTGCTCTGTGTGGACACAAATGTTAGAGGGCCAAAAATATTCGCTTGTTCCCATTTCTGAGGGACAGGGAAGTATTGATCGCTCACTTGAGTTCATGAATCGAGCAAATGACCTCCTTAGTTTGGACGGAGAACTCATCCTTGATATACTTGGCGAGTGCCCAGGTCAACAAATCTGCCGGGACACAATCAAATCCATCGGAGAATATCATCTAGAAAAGCTGATAAGTACCGTATCATATTTATCATGTTAATTGTTGAGAATATGGCTCACTATTGCCCCTGTCTCTTTAGCTTTCTCATGATATTTCTCGATCATCTCTTTAACCCATGTTATCTCTCCCGTCCTGGGATGAATAAACTTCAGCAAGAATTTATAAATGGGAAGAGGGATATCGGTATTCCTACACATCGAGGTAATGAGTGCCATTATTCGCACATGCCTCCACGACAGGTGTCGAGTGCAGATGATATGGTCCGACGCAATTGATAAGCACGCGAGTCCTCTCGGCAAGGGGATTTAATTCCTCAGCCTGAAGTTGCACAGGCACAATCTCTAATAAGCTCACAGGATATTAACGTTATGCCAACGAACCCCAAGGGAACAATGAACGACTTTCAAAACACGACATACCGGGTTCTTTGCGCTCAGCGTTCAGTTCACGCAATTCGGTTGCGAGTGCAGTAAGTTTTTCTGCAGATCGTCCCGCAATTCCCCATTTCAAGTTTGTGGGAAGATGCTTTACGATGTGTTCAGCGCACAGGCGCCCAGTATATCCCGTCGCGCCGAGGAGGACGAGGTCGAAGTGCCGTGTGGACGTCATGGAGCGAGGGTACACCTTTTGAGATTATCGGAGCTGTTTATGCAACGCCAAAAAAAGGCTTCCTTGTCAACAGTAACTAAGGTCAAAGTACCAGTTGAGCAAGGAATTGATTGATTGAAAGGAATTCACAACAAGCGCTATAAATATCATCGAAAGCAACTAACGGCGTTTGATCACAAGCATTGCTATTGTTGGCGTTCCATGAATTCTAAGGTTATCTGCGATGATATCACCCGCTTCGCTACCACAAATTCTGGCTCCGGGCTAGTGAACTGTTTGTTCCGAAGCGCCCGCTTTACTGACTCCGGTGAAGACGAGCCGAGGTGGATCATTTCGATAGTGAGATAAAGGGAATCGTCGCTTGTTCACTATCCCAACGTGATACATACATAATATGTTATAGGCAATTACAAGCTGGGGATCTTCAACCCGCGACTGGCGTCTATGATGAAAATAGCTTCAAGATAGGTTAAACCACGTATTTCCAACATTAACCCTTGCGGTATTGCAGCATCTATACGAGTACTTTGCCATGGTCTTTCGTATTGTTTTGGCTAGAGGTTGATAACTAGCTGTCGTGCATTTCTCCAATATCATTTTACGCTGCTTTGTGGTTAAGGAAGATACGGCTGGTACATAACGTCTGGGAGAACAAATCAACCTCCACCCGAAATGCTTATCGCAACGCCTCGTCTACCATCTGTAGTTCGCATCCACGGAGCTTTCATGTAGTTTTTGTGGCCTGTAATCGCTAATTGTGGATACCCTTTAGGATTTTTAAACCAAAGGAAGTAGTTATTATCTGTTGAACATACAAATAACCAGAACCCCTAATTTGCAACAATATAATATAAGCAGAGGTAAATATCCCGGAGAATAATATACAATCGGACAGACAGTGAGTACCAGAACAGATCTCATCACCAATGTCAATCTTAAGTCAATCATTCTGCTGATGTACTCGATGATTGCAGACAGCCTTGTTGAACTTTCGGATGTTTGGTTTATCGAAGGTTTAATACCACGTGATTCCAACGCATGCATTGCCAAGACTCAAATTTCGACCCTAAGCGAAGCCCACAATTCCATCAGCGACGGTCGAGTCAACTTGCAACAAGTCCGGATTTTGCAGCTTCACACACCCACCTCTCTGTTGCCCGCATATACACATCCAGCGTGACAAGATGACGAAGCGCACCAAGAGTACGTTGCTAAATTGAAATCTTCAACCACATTTTCCCGGGTTTGGAATGATGGACTAATTCAACGTTTCCGCAGAGGTCGGTGTCACCGGTAAATATGGTACCAGGTACGATTTTCAATCCCGCAGTCATCTGCTGCGTCCTCCGGATATCTCCTGTGATCGAATCGGTTTCATGATATGGGAAGAAAGAGAGGAGGATGATGCGATATGATGCGATATGGGTTTGGGGGAAACCTATACAGCGGAGGGAAATGGAGAGAGAGAACAGAAGTTGGCTGACCAGAAGAATTTCCGTTAAAACGACAGATACGGTGCCTCGCTCCGAAAGCAGGTGAAGAAGATGGAAATCTCCCAGCACGCCCGATACGTCTGCACATTCTGCGGCAAGAACAGCGTAAAGCGAAAGGCCGTGGGCATCTGGGAGTGCCGATCGTGTAAAAAGACCGTTGCTGGTGGTGCCTGGACTGTCTCGTACGTACTTCTGTCCAGTTATCCCACATTTCAAAAGCCTCTCTCTCTGCTCCTTTCAAATGGGCTGACCAAAGCTCTTTGGTTTTTTGTCGTTACAGAACACCTGCGGCTGCTACCACTCGATCGACCATCCGTCGTCTCCGAGAAATTGCGGAAGTTTAAAGATGATTTGACGATGGGAGTTTCAGTTTCAGTTTTTTTTTTTCTTTTTTTCTTTCTTTTCTTTCAATTTTTCTGCCCCTTTTTTTTCGGATGAAATGACGGAATTTGGGCAGTTGCAATGAAAACAAAAAAAATTTTGAATTCCGATTGCAGGGCTTGCACTTGTTATGGATGTGTGCTATCACAGAGGGAGACACCCGAAATCGTAAATGCCTTTGATATCCTGCACGGATATTCGATAAAGTCTTTCTGAGTGACTGAACTAAGGCTTCCACCCCAATAGCATCAGTACGAAAGAAGACAAATCAAAAAAATTTCCATTGCTTCTTCCCAATCAGGTCCAATTTACTTCTTGTTCGACCCTTCATATTAGTTTCAAGCGCGATTTAGTTGCTTTTTAGGTGCAACACATGTCTGATTGGCTTTGTGAGCTGCTGTCATGGTGGGTACGTACATCTAGGAGGCGCACCCTGAGGATTTACTCGAAATTAAGGATTACCTTGGTCGTCTTGAGGGCTTGCATATTACTTAATTGGTGAGATAAGGTTGTCTCTGGATATGGCATTTTCCTAGATGCTGCAAATTCCTGGCTTTGCAACAAAAGTGAGCGTTCATGAGGTTGGCATCTCGCATCTCATGGAACTCTCGTTTATGGTTTTGTCGTCAGCCAAGTAGGGCACCGGAGCACAAAGTATAACGACGCACTTGTCGTTGGTTGTCGAATTCGCACCATGACTTCACTCTGAGTATATACAGGACAGTAACTATTTAACAGAACAGCTTACCTCAGTTAATAGGGTCCTCAACTTGCCTGCTGCACATCACTGCACATCACTGCACATCACTGGAAGAAGGAGCATGCACCAATGATCCATTGAGCAAGATAGTTAATGTTAGTTAACTGAGAAATTAGTTATTAGATAACTCCGAAATCAAGGTAGGACGGTTTCACGACATCCATTCCTTGTCCCATACATTGTCCGTAGCCTCCCAGCAAAGAAAGCGTGGATGTCATCGGGCAGGTTGCCTCCATCACCACTGCATTGAAGTCCACCCAAGACTCGTCGACTTGGAAACCTGCTACGTGGCAATTAGAGTGAATTATGTATACTTTGAACAACTGGGCAATATCTTTAACAAGTAAGTTGATCTCCGGAGGCTACGTTGCCGGCACCGGAGCAATTGGTCTTGTTGAGCCAGATGTTTTGCTCCAGTCATTGTGATCTATTACATCTTCAACAACTTCGAGACGAAGCGCGCCGTATCCTTTGGTCGCAGGTATTACAAGCAAGATAGGATAAAGCTGCAAAAACGAAAAGGGGGCAAAGTGAAATAACGTGTAGCGCGAAACAACTGGCAATTAACCAGAAAGTATTCCTTGGATAATCTCCATAGATGGTAATAAATCCTGCAATCGGACTTGACGTGGGCAAAGGGGAAGAGTAAAAAAAAAATAAATAAATAAATAAATTAAAAAATAAATTAGAGCTTGTACTCTGCCATCGTCTTTGACTGATAGCTCGCCAAAATTTACCCCGGATGGACATTTAGCTGTTAGACTTCTGCCTGACGAACCCAGTTCCTTCGGCTGGTAAATATCACACCCATGATCTGACCGTACACAATATGGTTCCTTGAATGCCGTCAAGCAACCACATCAGACCACCATTTTCCGGCCAGCGAGGATCGCCTGCCTCTCCTCTCTATCGGCCGTAATAGCTTTGAACTATTCCACTCCATTTCGCCCGCATCTCCGGCGACCTTGGGAGTTTGCGAACTTAACCCAACCCGTCTCTTAAAAAACATGAACACTCAGAAGTTGGATGGAGTGCTCTTTCATATGTATATCTTAACAACCACCGTATAAAATTCCACTCTATAAAGTGATGATATATAAAGGATATATATACGGATACATAACTAATGTATCATATGTTATATCAAACACCAGATAAAATCATTCCCTCAAGCTCTGTCCCCCAAAGCCCAATGGCGCATATCACGTTCCAGCGCTATCCCCCAATGCGGCCTAGCGCGTGCTGCTAGCCCCAGCTTTCAAAAGGCGGCAGCTTCTTCCCACAGCTTCTGGTATTTCATCCTCTTCCTCCTCCTCCTCCTCCTCCTCCTCCTCTGCCCAGCTTCCAGTACAGCCACAATTCTGCTCTTCATGCCGCCGCAGAATATCCCATCCATCCATCCACTCTTCCATCTCCTCAACAATGACGGACACTTGCATAGTGTGTCTAGGAGACCTTGGCGATGGCGCCAGCGAGCCGGCTCGTGTGGTATGTGTTGACCAAGACCATCTGCCAAGATCCGGCGATCTCCAGAGAGCTCCCCGGCTGGAGGTCGTCGTTACATCCCCCAAGCCTGACCCAGAAGCTGATTCGGGGAAAATTGCCCACCTGCTTCCCTGTGGCCATACCCTTCATGACGAGTGTCTTAAACCTTGGGTGGAAAGGGCGAATAGTTGTCCGATATGCCGCCAGAACTTCAATATGGTTGAGCTGACGGACACGGTTGGAGGTATGTGCATGTACATTTATTTACAGTGATATATTTATTGCTTTGATTATTTCCATTGGAGTTAGGCCTTCTGTTGTACCATTTTTGAAACCACAGATTTTCTAACAATTTTTCTCATATATCTACAGGTCCTGTTGTCTCGTCCTATTGTGTTGAAGACCGTGTGCAGGTTGCGGATATCGACCCTTCTATTGTAGTGGACGAACTAGATGCAGAGTCCGATTCACAACCCTGTCCGATATGTGGATACGATGATAACGAAGACGTCCTTCTTCTCTGTGATGGTTGCGATGTCGCCATCCATACCTACTGCGTCGGCCTGGATGCCGTCCCTTCAGGTCCTTGGTTTTGTTCCCAATGCGAAACCCAAAGAGTGATCCTTGCAGTTGGCTCACGTCCACGGAACCAATCCATCCGTCGCACTCGTGGCGATCAGAGAAGAATCCGCAGCCGAAACCAGATAAATGCCGTTCATTGGGCCCGCGTTTGGCAAACCGTATGGGACCATTTGAATCTAGACCTGGACTTCCCTTTTGACGATGAACGAGCGCACAACCGGGCAGTTGAACAGCGAAGACGCGAGGTTGCTAGTCGGAGAGAATTTCGGGCATGGGAACGTCGCTTTCAGATCGCTGAGCGCCAAGGAATGGCTAACCGGTTCAGAGATACCGCATCCGCCCTTCTCGAGATCGGGCGGGGCTGGCCCTCGAGACCCAGACAAAGAATCGAAACGCCAGAACCCGAATCACTTGACGAGGTTAGAGCATGGAACGCATTTGAAAGAGCACGGGAAATACAAGATGATCCAAGTTCGAGCTCGAGTCGTGGTCGGAAACGCAAATCGCCGACGGCTTCACCAGTAGAGCCACAGCCGGCACAACCCGAACGGAGACTGAAACGCCCGCGAACGAGACGGCCGGAAGCTCTTGCTGCTGACTTTCTTGATCACGGGGGTGAGTCTTCCAGAGCTGGGAGATCAGCTAATGCAGGTGGTTCTGCTGCTTCTGGAAGGGTTCCCGCTGATAGCAATGTTAGTACGGGCCCAAGCTTTTTGCAATCCCTTCTCAAAGAGGTCGAAGACTCTTCTCCCCCGAGCTTGAACAACAGCGCCTTTAGGTCGAATGTATTCTCCGCGACACCTGGCGATTCGAGCTCCCCCCACCCATCCTCCCCTGCTCAGTCATCCCTCTCATCGAATCGCTCCTCCCCTCAACCATCATCCACCACACCACCCCCTTACAACAACGGACCAACCACGCCGATCACAGTCCCCGACCCAGCAGCTTTTTCTTTTCCCGAATTCTCCCTTTCATGCTCTCCCAACCAAGACCAAGGGACCGCGGGCCGACCTCGACTCCCCCGCCAAATGCACCGAAGCCAGCGTGGAGGCCACAGCTCATCATCCTCACCTTCGCGTTCGCGATCCAACGAAACCTCCCCAACCCGCTCTTCCCTCTCCATATCTGTCAAATCCGATCTCCAGAGAATGGTCAGCGCGGCTCTAAAGCCCCACTACCGCAGCCGCGAAATCTCAAAGGATGAATATACGGATATAAACCGTCGTATATCGCGGATGATGTACGAGAAGGTTGGAGCCGTTACGACACTGGATGCAGATGTGAAAAGTAGATGGTCGGGAGTTGCTAGCGAGGAGGTGAGCAAGGCTATTGCCAATCTTAAGGAGACTAGAGAAGTCAACTGGCAAGGTCAACAAGGGCAGTGATAATAGTGGTTGAAGCCTCTTCATGAACTGATGATAAATTTTCTTTTTTAACGATGCTTTAATTATGATGATCCCCCCCCCCCCCCCCCCCCCCAAATACATAACAAGCTGGCGTTTTGTCTACATACTACATTTTCGATTGTTTATATTTAGCGCATTTTATTTTTTTGATTGGCTTAAAACATCATCCTGGCGAGTATTGAACAGCGTTGGTGCGTCCTGGGGGTACTGGGAATGATATCTTATCTTCTTGAGTCTTGTTCTTCAATGTAGCTCTTCCCCCTCTCAGCTGGAAAGCATGGGGATTTGTTTATATCTTCTCTGTCCTTTGGATCAAATGCGGCGTGAGTGACGGGAGGGATGTTATTCATTAGTAGGATAGATACCCTGATACATTAACTTGCTGGTCTATTTCTGATAATTTTGCCCCCTCACCTGGTTTGCAGGAACAAATCTCCCCTTCTCTTACTCCTTTTCCAGTGAGTTAGATTTCGTAGACTCCGCAGGAATGGATCATGTCATGGGAGTTTACATCCAACTTGGAACAAAATGTCCATCAACCCGTGACCAATGGGGGATTGAGAAAGATGAAAATATCATCCAGACTTTGTTGCTGTTTCAATCGAAAACACCTAATCCAAGGTATCGAATCGACATTTCTGCAGAGGAATAAAGTTCTTTACAAGAGTAGGGGATGTCCCCTTGTCACGTGTCTCTTTTCATACTTGCACCGACCCGATCAAAAATACGACTCGTAACTTACCAACTCGTAACTGCTGTCAGGCTGGGTATTACCGAGGGGCACACGTGACCGCTGCGGTACCTTGGTTTAACCCAGACGCGTCTGCTCCGAGTCGCGCCAACAGAGAAAAGAATTTCAACTCTGAATAGCAAAATCCTCCACAGAGGCTGTCAGGGGAGCCACCTGGCAATTGTCGAATCCATTGCTGTCATAATTGCCTCTAGCAAGCCTTGACAAGCCCTCACCAGGCCCTTGTCCTACCCTGTCACCTCATCTATACATTGCTACGTGAAACGATTGCCAACTCTCACCGTAGTAGTTTAGTTATCTCGTACACCAACAAGAGCCCATGGTCATCTAATACAACAAAAGCCCACTCCACCCCACCCCACCCCACCCAAACCCGCTCCATTCACTCAAACAACAATGCCTTTGCGCACTCGACATTCTCAAGCCGGTACGACTGAAATCGCCGAACCAGATGAGGAACCGAGCGGCCTCCGCCGCCTGAAGTTCAAGCAGCCACTATCATGGCGGGCCGGTCGAGCGATTACCGTTGCAGACCTGCTGGAGAGACTAGAGTCGCTTGCGCTTGAGCTACGGCAGCTAGATCAGGAAGAGACGGATAAGGATTCGCTGAGGAAGGTTTCACAGGAGCTGGCGAGCCTGCATTTGCTGGGTCATAGGGATAGGGGCGTGCGGGCGTGGACTGCATGCTGTGTCGTGGATATTTTGCGTCTGTGCGCACCGAATGCGCCGTTTACGGGGAATCAGCTGAAGGTATGGAGGATATGGGTTTGGGGGGTATTGTCAGATGATGTGTTTGTGGAGCAAGTGCTAATAATATTGATTATTGTGACAGGATATATTTACGACAATTGTCACATCGATAATTCCCGCCCTCGCTGACCCATCGAATGCCTACAATGAACAACATGTATACGTTCTTTCGTCCCTCGCAGATGTCAAGAGCATCGTCCTTCTGACAGACCTGGATGCTCCCGACACTCTGATTCTCCCTCTCTTTTCATCGTGCTTCGATATCGTGTCAGGTTCATCGAAGTCTTCGACGGGCGAGGAACTAGCAAAAAACGTGGAATATGATATGACACGACTGCTTGTTCCTATTATCGATGAATCTTCTGTCCTTGCACCGGAAATCATCGACGTTATCATTGCGCAATTTCTGCGCGTCGATCCCCGGATCGTAGAGAATCCAAGCGGTAGCAAAAGCAAGAAGAATGGGGCGCCTCTCGATGCAAAACAAGGAACGTTGCTCCTGAAAGAATATCCTCCCGCCTACAACATGGCCAAGGCCATATGCAACGCTTGTCCCGACAAGATGACCAGCTACGTCAGCCAGTATTTCAACAACGTGATTATTGATGCCTCAGGTCCTCCAGGGATGAATGGGCTTTCAAAAAACTCATCCCATCGTCGCCCAAGCATTGATGATTCAGATGACGAGTCTGAAAATATCAAAGAACTAAGCAAAGCCCACCGGCTTATACGAGAGGTCTGGCGTGCCTCTCCGGATGTGCTGCAAAATGTGATTCCGCAGCTTGAGGCGGAACTGTCTGCTGAATCTGTATCACTACGACTCCTGGCTACGCAAACAATCGGCGACGTTGTTGCTGGAATTGGCGTCGCGGGTCCTCCGACACCGCCGTCTATGGACCCGGATGCTTACCCGCCCGCAAAGTTGACTGACCATTCAGAGACGCAGCCAAACGCGTTACTTACGCCGCTCTCCCCCAAGCCATTTTCACAGGCCCATTCTACTGCATACCAAAGTTTTCTCAGTCGACGTCAAGATAAATCTGCATCTGTACGGGCTGCCTGGGTTACGGGAATTGGTCGAATCTTACTTACGGCAGCCGGGGGTTCTGGGTTGAGCACCAACGAAGAACAAGATCTCGTTCAGAGCCTTGCGAAATTACTTGGAGATGCTGATGAAAAGGTCAGAACTGCCGCAGTGGACGTCATTGGAATGTTTGGCTTCTCAGACGCTGTAAAGAAACTTGGCATCGACGGTGGAATCTCTGATAAGGGATCCCTGTTTTCAATTCTGGCCGAGCGCGTTAAGGATCGAAAACAAACTGTCCGTGAGAAGGCAATGACTACTCTCGCACGTTTGTGGGGGGTTGCATCTGGGGAAATTGAGGAGAACAATAAGCAAGTGGTGATGATCCTAAAGGATATTCCCTCCAGAATATTCGACGCTTATTACACAAATAATCTTGACGTTCATGCTCTTCTCGACCATGTTATATTTGAGCTACTTCTACCACTGAATTATCCTCCTCTGAAGTCAAAAGCTTTAAAGGGGGATTCGAGCCAGTTACGAAAATTGAAAAACGCAACTCATGAGGGCGAGGGTAACACCGAAATCGATATTGAAATGATACGCGTCCGGCGAATTCTTACACTGGTTAAGGGACTCGATGAGCGGGCGAAGAAAGTGTTTTTCGCGCTACAAGGCCGTCAACTGACCATGAGAAAGTTTATGACTTTCTATTTGGCGGCCTGTGAGGAATACAACGTGAGTCTAAAATGCGCGCTCCCCAAGGGATGAAATGACTACTAACCATTTCCTCCAGGGTGGCGTAATGGATGACGACGAGGAAGTTACGAAAGCGAAATTAACCAAAGTCATCGATAACTTGGCCAAAACGCTTCCAGACCACTCCAAAGCTTCAGCGGATCTCTGGAAATTTGCAAAAATGCATGACAGACGGAATTACCAGCTTATTCGTTTTGCCATGGCTGCCGTCAGTGACTTCCGGACAGTTTCCAAGGCCATCAGGGAAATGTCTAAGCGGATCCAAGGAAACACATCTGCTCCTGCTAGTTTGCTTGAGACGTTGACTTCTTTGGTCTATCGAAGTAGTTCTTTGATTTTCAATCGGAGCCATATTCCTGCGATTATGGATTTATCTAGGAATGACGACCTCGGACTAGGAAATGCAGCACATGAGATGTTGAAAGAAACTTCATCTCAGAACCCAGAGGTTCTCGAAGCACACGTCCAGGATATGTGTAAAGACCTGGAAGCTCATGCCCCAAGCGCAAAGCAATCCGACGAGGCTGGCGTGGAGGAGATATTGAAAGCATGCGCTGGGTTCGCGAAAAAATTGCCCGCCAAAATTCCCACAGAGCGGAAATTTTTAGTAGCTCTTACCAATTACGCGCTGTACAGCTCGTCACCCAAGGCCGCGAAACATGCCGTCTCGATAATGATGGCCACATCGGATAAGAAGCAAATGTATGCCAAAGAACTTATAAGAAAGTCTGTTCAGAACTGTACACATCAGTCGCCACACTTTCTTACGAAACTTGCGACGATATCCCAAATAAATCTCCTCGCGCCCGAGGTTGCTGATGACGAGGGCGAAGCCATTATCTCCATCGCGACGAATGATATTTTACTAAATAACCGTTCACCACAACCGTCCGCTGGATATGCATGGTCTGATGATGTCGACGAGGAAACATCCGCCAAAGAATGGGCCTTGCGGATACTTGTGAACAGAGTACGTGCCAAGCAAAGCACAGAAGACGAACAGACTTTCCGTTCTTATGCCGAACCCGTTTACAAAATTCTCAATACTCTCGTTGCCAACCACGGCGAATTGTCTAAGAAACAAGATTCGCCGGCAGCGCAAAAGTCAAGACTTCGACTACTCGCTGCAAAACTTATCATCAAGCTTAGTAGTGCCCACGCACTGTGCGAGAAACTGCTCACTCCGGCCGATTTTAACGTGGTGGCCTTGGTGGCGCAGGATGAATCGGAACCCGTCAGGGCCGGCTTCATTGGACAACTGAAGAGTAAACTTACGCAAGTGACGAACTTGGGTACAAGATGGTATACAGTCGCTTTTTTACTCGCCTTTGAGCCAAATAGAAATTTGAAGGATAGTACACTTACCTGGCTGCGATCGCGAACCAACTTCTTTACCCGCCCATCGCAGAGCAACGACAGGGGGCCGGAGCAGCAGACGGTCATGGAGTCATTGGCTGCTCGCCTCCTTTCGCTCCTAGCATATCATCCCGACTACCCTCCAGAATCCTCTGACGAGGCTACGAAAGTAGACGATCTAGCTGATTTTGCCAGGTACATACTTTTCTACCTTTCCGCAGTCGCCAACGAAAACAACCTCTCCCTCATTTTCCACGTCATGCAGCGAGTCAAACAGGTTCGAGATGCCATCACCAATTCAGAATCCATATCGAACCGCCTCTATACCCTATCAGACCTCGCCCAAGCAACCACCCGTCGCTTCGCAGAATTATATTCCCAACAACACAAAATTGGCGGCAGCGGAGGCAGCGGGGCAACTAACATTCTCCAAACTTATCCGGGCAAAATGCGACTGCCCAGCTCGCTTTTCACAACCATACCCATCCACATAGAAGCGTTGGCTATCGCAGAGAAGAATTATCTGCCAGAAGAAGTCGACGACAAACTTGATCGTATTGTCCGGTCGTTCATGAAGCCACGGAGCCAATCGTACTCTCAGGCGCAGAATCTCTCGAAGAAACGAAAGGTATATTCGTCGTCTACGGCTAAGGGTGACGGGAGCGCTAATTCTACAAGCAATTCGCATAAAAAGGTTCGTAGAGCTAATAAGATCAAATCTCTTACCATTCGGAAGTATGCAATGGCGGAATCAGGAGTGAAGACTGCCAAACGGAGGAAGACGGGTGATGAAGATGATTGGGATGGCGGGGGTGACATTAGTGGCAGCAAAACGGGAGGCGAGACTTCGTTGAGCGCGCGTCGCAGGAGTGGTCGGGGGGCTAAGGCTGGTGTTTCCTATGTTGAGGGGAATAGTGATGAGGATGATTTGGAGATGATGGAGGGAGAGGAGGAGGAAGAGGAAGAAAACGGCGATGAATCCGACGGGGATGGGGATGGGGGAAACCCATCATCTGAACCGGAAGACGTAGAAGAGGATGAGGAAGGGGATGTCAAAGAGGCTACCCCTGCCTCTACCCCTGACGTCAGTGACAGTGATGACGATGATGGCGATAACGAAGACAAAATGATGGAAGACGCGAATAAATCTTCACCCCTGTCCCCGTCAACATCTAAGCAAACGTCCAATAGGAAACAACAGGTTCCCAAGTCTTTGCCCTTTGCTAGTACGAGGGGCAGAGGCAGAGGTAGGGGCCGCCCTCCTGGCAAGAGACAGTCAAATACCGCGGAGACGGGGATGGAGTCACCAGAACAGGAGCAGAAACAAGCCAGTGCCGGCGCCACTGTCGGGCCAACGAGAAGATCGAGCCGCAGAGCACGTTGACGTTACATTATGTTGTCGATCTTTGTAATTGACCTGTATGATTGATCGATACCATGTTGTTTCTTTTTATTCCTTTTTTTGTCCGCTTTTTATCTGCTTATTCCCCTCCCACTTTAATAATTATGTTTGAGGGTACGATTTGATATAGGTGGTTTTACAGTGAGATGTTTAATATGTTCTTGTTGCTGATAGGCTAAATGACGAATGTTTGAAATGTTTATAGGATGGATGGTGGTTCTTTTTGCGTTTCATCTTCGTAAATTTGTTCATATCAAATTTTATTACGGTTGACTTCAATCTTTCGGAAATTATTTTTAATGTACTGCTCTTCCCCGTTTCCCAGTAGCTGCCAACTAGTGAAGAGGATGTCGTGTTTGATTTATCAGAGGCTGTCTACAGCACCGAGTAAAATCGAGCGGGAGGTATAGGGAGCAGATTGATAAGTTTACGCCGTCGTGGAGGGAGTTTGAAGGGAAGTTTGAATCGGGTTTCTAGTGTCTGCTTTTTACTTTCTATTCTTTTAACTCCTTATGAGCTGGGGGTCACTGAACTATGCATATGAGACGACCATGAAATAGCAATTCTATCAATTTTGAAATTTTGGGTTTTTGAAGTTTTCAACTTATTGCATTGGATTTAATTTTAATTTACCTGTTTTATCTGTTTTATGGAATCTGGTTAGGAATTAATTAAATTCTCAGTGGCAGAAAGCTGGTAGGGTTAGGGGGGGGGGGGGGGGGGGAATTGGTAAATAACTACCTATGAGAAAGAGTTATATTCATTTCTGTGACAAGTTCTGTGGGACTGGAGTCATCAGAATATCAAAGAAGAGTAAGGCGCAGGAAGAATGGTGAAACTATCCATATCTCTCACATGTACAGATAAAAAGTTAACTAAATAGACACTGAAGTACAGAGTGAAGTCAATCAGAAGATGAAATCCCACGCCCAACCATGCAAGAAGAGAACAAAGGCCAAAGAACCATCCATTGACAAAAGAATGAATTGACTAAAATGGAAAAAAAAAGAAGGGACCAGGGCTCAAAAAGCTACATAGAAACTGACAGAGAAGAAAACAAAATGCCTGGGCTACTCCATACAACAATAACATGAGGAAAAGCCCCTGTCACAAAGGGGCCTCCTGTAGGTTGGCGAGGGGAGGGAGGGTTATATAAAGATTCTGAACTTCGTACACGCCAACCTCCCTGATCGCAAAAAAAAAAAAAAAAAAAAAAAAACGTGCCAAGCAAAAATACAAGGGGTAAAGATGATAAACGCTCTATGTCCAATTTACCCCCAATTAAAATACCGGCCGTTGAATCAAAGAACATACGAGGTACTCTCATCGCCAGTAGCAGCCTTGGTCGTAGCAGCAGGAGTAGCAGAGGCACTCTCCCCATCGCCAGCGCCAGCACCCTCTCACCACCCTCCTTCACTTCCCTCTTCTCCTCACACGTCTTCGAACCATCAGTGCCCGCCCCAGAACTGCCCCCCTCCGCCCCCGCCGACTTC